CGCTTACCGACTTTAAATAAACCACTTTCCCATCAAATAACATGCTTTATTGGATCACCAAGCTCCAATTTGGCAAAAATGACGCAGACAAGAGTACAATGACACAGAAGAAAAAAGCAGATCCAAATAACAGTGTCATTCAATCACTTACAAGACCACCATCTTTAGGAAGTGCAACATCAACAGAAGAAAAACATGTCCGTATAAAGCCAACATTGCCTAAACCATTTGTGAAAAAGGACGTCCCCCCAAAACCGCCACCAAAATCACCAGCTGCTTCAGTTGTCATCAATCCAGATAAGACAGCTCCAGAAAATACCAAAATACTGTCAGCTGTAGTCATTGAAGAAAATACAAATAAAAGGCAAACAAGTGCTACATCATTTCAGATCCCGTATGATTTATCAAAAATGAGCTCGGCTGAAGTTTGCTCTTGTTTGCTCGTTTTGAACCTTGGACATCTCAAGGAGGTTTTTGTCAAAAACCAAATAAATGGTGATCTGTTGGTATCATTAGAAGATGATGACTACAAAGACTTACAACTCACAAACTTCGAAAGAAAGAAAATGATGCGGTTTGTGCAAGGATGGCGACCTGACAATGCAGATAGCAGAAGCTAAGTTTATAAATGTTAGTAGAATCTCCTGCAAATGGCGTCTGGCTGAACATATTTGAGTACGTACTCTATGTAAATCAGCATGTAATTCAGCATGTAACTCAGCTCAAGAAGAAGGCGATATTAACGAGTTTTCAGTATAATCGTTTAATTGTAGATTTGTATCATTTATGTTATGAAATTTATATATTATTAATGCTAAGTACCCATTTGCTAAAGATTTGAAATGCAGGGATTGACTTTTGTGCATTGGACTTTCCTGTTAATTGAATTTTATTTTGGTATTCCATTTATTCTCAAGAACACATAGCAAATAGTGCAACCGTATATCAATAGAAAACCCAAAAAATAAGTCTTGCATTGCTATTTGCGTTCGTCTAGGGTGGGGGTAATTCCACTTTTTTCATTTATTCGTTTACTAATTTCATGGTTGTACTAAAATTAAAATGTAACAAAAGCTCTGTAAGCAACTGAATGTTATTTGATCCTTTTTCACTGCCGATATTTTTTAACAGAATAGAAAATACAAAAAATATGCAGCATTCCTGTTATTTCTAGTCGTAATTGAATATTTCAAGTGAAAAAACATCGTTCCTATTAATGTGATTACTTTAAAATAGAAATTCATTACGCTCGAAAATGACAATACCAGATAGCCATAAACTAAACACTAAGACTTCAAGGAACATCAAGGAACAAAAATTGAACTCTGAATTACATTGTGAGTTCTGTTTCAATCCAATCCGCCAATATTTAGGCAAGAATGCATTATATGGAGGTTTTGTAGTTTAATTATGAATCACTGTTCACTTCCAAGGTAGGTAGGTTCAATTCAGTTTTAAGGAAATTATTATTTCTGACCAGATCGCAGTCGCCAAAAGTTCAGAATGTCTGTATTATTTCTCTCACACAAGCATTGTCATGGTGATACGAGTAATTTAGTTGCTCTATTTAAGCACCTACCTTTAAGCACCTACCTTTAAGCACCTACCTTTAAGCACCTACCTTTAAGCACCTACCTTTAAGCACCTACCTTTAAGCACCTAGCATTTTAGTTCTGAGGAGTACAGTAGAAACTCAAATAAAATAATCTGTTTTTATAATAAAATTGAGGCTGAAATTTAACCTTGAAAACCCCATAATCAAGAACCCCCAAGAGGCTGAAATTTGGAAAGGTTCTTATATATATATTCAACAGCTCCTAACTTTAAAGTTCTTTAAAAATATAAATAGATACTCAATAAAAAACAACTTGGTTGACGTTTCGCTATAAGCTTCTTCAGAATAACTAACACATACATCTGGAGCGTAAAATAAGGAATACGAAACAAAAGAACAAAAGGTAACACATTTTACAAGCAAGAACAATAATAGCTAATTTAACAACATAATGATAGTTTCTAAGCCCAGCCGGAGGTGAGAAAAGATGGATAAATACAATAGATAAAAGAACAACAGAACAAGTGCCATAGCAGATGGTATAGCATGCAGAAAAGTCCAAGAAAAAGAAACGGTAAATGCTGTCTGTCCCAAAAAATAAGAAACTAGGTAGATAAAAATAATAAATATAAAATGCAAAGGAAAGAAAGAAAGTAGATAGAAAACGTGGAAAAAGTCAACAGAAGTAACAAGGAGAAAATAAACAAAAAGATAGGAAATAGAAATAAAACTATGTGTCAACTAACCTAATATTAAGGCCCCGGGGCGCGAAAGTTTCTAACTTATACTGCCAGAAAGTTTCACGTATCCTACCATTCCCATTAAGTCTATCTATAATAGTTACTTTAATATCTTCGAGAAACCCATGATGATCCTTCCCTGCAAAATGCCGGAAAAAATCAGCCTGAGGTACACCCGAAGAGCCCCCCATAAACTTACGATTGCACGCCTTGTAGTTATTAAACCTAAGCCTAAACGGCGTGCAAGTGCTACCCACATACTGTACACCACATACTTTACATTCCATAAGATACACAACATTGGACGAATCACAATTAAACGAAAAATGTATCTTATATTCCTTATCAGTTATATGGGAGGTAAAAGTATCAATGTCACACATAACATTACACACTTGACACCGAGACTTGCCACACGGAGTACAACCCTTGTTATGCGAAACCCCTGCCCCCTCACTATGAAGTTTAGCCCTAACTAGTATCTCTTTAAGATTCTGACACCTCTTAAATGATATCAAAGGTGGCTGAGGAAACACCTTCCTATGCTCTTCTGATACTGTAAGCATAGAATGAAGTCTCCCGGCCACTTTGCCCAAATTATTCAAGGCTGGATGGTATGTGGTAACAAACGGAACCCGCCCATTCCCACTGTGTTCATGTTTCCCATTAGCCTTATCCAGTAGTGTAACCCTATCCTGCCTACGTGCCTTATCTATCTGTTCTGTAATAAGTGATTCCTCGTACCTCCTTGCCTTTAACCATCCAGCCAAATCCCTTAACCTATCCCGTAACTGGCGATCGTCCGAACAAATCCTACGTAACCTTAAAGCCTGACTTTAGGGTATCGCCTTCTTGGTATGCCATGGGTGACAAGACTTCTTATGTAAATACTGATGTGTATCAGTAGGTTTACAAAACAATCTTTCTTCCAACCCAGTCATAAAGAGGTTTGCATAAGCTGGAGCGAACTTAGTTCCTATAGCGGTGCCTAACTTCTGTCTATAAAACCTATCATTAAATTCAAAGTAGTTGCTTTCGAGAACCAGAGATGCCAATCCTACTAGGGTATCAGTAGCCACGTTTGGGTTTTCCCTTCTATCCAGCGCTTCCCTGATGGCTTCCAGACCCTCCCCATGTGGAATGCTAGGATAGAGTCCCACAACATCAACTGTGCACAGTATAGCCCCCTCTGGTATCCTACCTATTTCACCTAACTTAGACAAGAAATGATTAGTATTTAATGTAAGACCTACCGAGGCTAACCAGTGGATTGAGGTGGTGACCTAGATATTCTGATACTAATACATTAAGTCTTACATTGTCTTACATTAAGGATACTAATTAACGTTTCGCAATATGCTTCTTCAGAATAACCTTCACTTACATTTGGAGCGTAAAATAAGGAATACAAAACAATAGGACAAAAGAGCACATTTTACAAGCAAGGACAATAATGGCTAATTATACGACACAAGTAAACTTTCTAGGCCCAGCTGAAGGTGAGAAAAGCGGAATAAATACAATAGATAAAAGAACAAAAGAGAAGCGTGAAGGCAGATGGTTAACTACCCAGGAATGCACAAAAACGAGAAAGGGTGAATGCTATCTGTCCCTACCATGAAGATTATAAAATAATATTATGTGGAAATAATAAATAGCTGTGAAAAGAAGAAAATAATCCAAGAGATTGGAAATAAAAATAAAACTATGTTTCAACTAACCTAATATTAAGTCCCCGGGGCGCGAAAGTTTCTAACTTATACTGCCAGAAACTTTCACGTATCCTACCATTCCCATTAAGTCTATCTATAATAGTTACTTTAATATCTTCGAGAAACCCATGATGATCCTTCCCTGCAAAATGCCGGAAAAAATCAGCCTGAGGTATACCCGAAGAGCCCCCGATAAACTTACGATTGCACGCCTTGTAGTTATTAAACCTAAGCCTAAACGGCGTGCAAGTGCTACCCATATACTGTACACCACTTACTTTACTTCTCAAGTCAGTGTTTTCCTAAAAACTGGATTCAGAAAAGAATATTACTGTTTGTTTTCTTATACACCTAAAAAATAACTTTTTACAAAATTTTCAACCCAAAAAAATAAATCAAAATTGACTACCCCAAAAAAATAACAGATTATTTCTCAAACCCAAAAAAATAAGAAAATTTAAAATTTGAGACCCAAAAAATAAGCCGAGCCTCCCTGTCAAAAATTTTTCAACTACACTCCTTGGGCTCAAACTATGGTTCATTCCATTTTGGATTTGAAATCTGCACAGTTAATTTAGCGGAAAATTCAAGGAAAGTCGAGGTCAAGTCCTTGGCTGACTTTTAAAGAATTTTTTTCAATTTTGATGACGTCTTAAAAAACAAGTGACTTTCGGTGATATTCTTTTTGGCCCATCTTGGATTTGAAATATCCATGGTCGAACAAGTTGGAATGTAAAATAAAATTTGAGGTTAGGTGCTGTTTTTTTCTACCAAATTCCCTGTGTTTTCGTTACTCACAGGGCTTCCCCACGGATTGCCTCCACAAACATGGCAGGGAACGAAGGTGGACATCAAAGGGTGGAAATTGTTGGTAAACAGGAGCCATCTGCAGCGATCAAGTTGATATACGAATCACAAAAGCCTTTCGTATTCAAAGGCATGATTGATCACTGGAAGGCAAGCCAGTGGACTGTGGGGTACTTCTGTAGGAACTTCGGAGACTTGCCAACAACCTTCAAAGTTTGTCCGATTCACACAGTTGATGGCAGTGATACAAAAAAACCAGTCATGGAAACTGAATGTGTATATATCGAGGGAACATTCGCTGATTTCATACATTGGCTAAGAGGGGATTATGGCAAATGTGCATCACTGAGACAATTTCCTAGGTATACACACAATATCGGCATGTTGTGTAGGTGTAGAGGGATGTGGGGTATGAATCCCACCTTTTCTTAAAAAGCCGTACTATGAGGCGTAGAGAATTTATTGGTAGGAAAATGGAAATAAGAATCTTGGGCTGTCGACAATTGCAAAATAAGCATTGTTGTGAGAAAGTGATACTGGCTAATAATCAGGGGGTGTAGAGCTAGGAGGCTCAGGGGGGCTGAGCCCCCTTGTTAATGCCAAAAGTTGGCAAACTTCTACTTTTGCTATTTTTGGCAACATTTTGTGCAAGTTCTCCCCTTTTTATTTTGATAGCACTACACCACTGCTAATAACTGGTTACAATCAACTCCACTTTATGACTCCAAACATGCAAAACTATTCATTTTTTTCTGTTTACAGTGACACTTTCACTGCTTTTCAAGCAATATTTGGGGTGACTATAACTGGAGTCTAATGTATTGTAAATGAATATAATGCTTAACTAAAAATTCTAGATCAAAACCTTTGACTCTATTAATGAGAGGGATAAAGGTTAGCATTTATGCAATGAGAGGGAATACAGGTGATGCTTTGACATTAAATCTAGAATATGTTCTGTACTTTTTTACTTGTCAGGTAGTTGCAACTGGGGGGCGTTGGAGCCACCCCAGTAATTGCAAATTGTACTATATTTTTCTTCCATAACAGTGTACTGAATGGGAAGAAATGCAATGGGCACCCCCCCTCTCAATATGAATTTTGTAACGATGGCACTGTTCAGCGTAAAAACAGAATGTTGAAAGCTGCAATAATTTATATATGAATTCATAGGTCTAGATACAATTGATTTACACATCTATTAGAAAATGTCTTTGAGAAAAGTAACCCTAAATGATAAAAATATAAAATAAAAAAACGTACTGAACATGTTTTAAGAAACTGCTCGAAAAATCCTTCTGTTCAAGATGGGATGGAAAGTTTTTTTTGACAATTTGGTCCTATTTCCTGGTTATCAGACACAGATAAAAGACAGAATTGAGTAATTAGCTGTTTTACTTCATGTTCAAGTGTTTCTAAAATATAGCAATTTCAATTTGATATTATTCAGATGAAAATACACTATCATCTTCATACATGTTATTTCAAATCTTTCCTAAATTATTACCGAAAAGGAGTAAAAGTAATAGTGTACAAGTTGCATGATGTTTCTTGTAGCTGTGGGTTTGGGACAGCTACTGGGCCTTGCTGTTTAGGGGTCCTTGTAAAGTAATATTTATAATGATATATAATGATAATAATAATAATAAAATATAGAGTAAGGTAGTACAAGGATTCCAGCCTATAAAAGTTACATTTGTGTTCGTAATTGAAGCTATCATAAAGTTTTTCAAAATTCAATACTGTTGAGATGTTAATAATGAATTCACTTTTAAGAATGGGATTAGTAAAACGTCACAAAAGTATGCAAAGAATGATAAAATGTTTGAAACCACTGGAAGAAAATTACTGCAAGAAATATTTTCAAATGTATTTTAAGTTTATGTAAGGAACAAAGCCTCAAACATTTTTTGATCGCTTTGCTCACAGGGCATTATAGAATGGAATTGCAACTTAAAACTGTGGTGTTCCCAATCCCAAAATATAGGGGATGATTGGGATAAATATAGGTTTATCCTTTTTGTACCTTTTTTATCAAATTTGTTCTTGTCTTTGATAACTTGAAATCCAAGCATTGATTAAATATGCTAAAGCATTTTAATTTTTGAGCATGATCGTTACCTGTATACCTGTCTGATATTTTTATAGGGAGAATTTCTCTATCTACATTGATTACAAATATATGAAAGACTTAATGGAAGAAAGTCCTGAAACTTATAGGGACATTGACTGGGGAACATTTGGCTTTGAAGGTAGAGATGGCAGAGATTCTTCAATCTGGATAGGTAGCTACAAGGCATTCACACCACTACATAAAGATACATATGGCTTGAACCTGGTTGCACAGCTTTCTGGCAAAAAATCATGGACTTTGTTTCCTCCAAAAGACACTCTCAAAGTGTACCCAACAAGAATACCATATGAAGAATCTAGTGTTTTTAGTGAAGTCAACATAAAAAGTCCAGATTTTGTAAAACATCCTGAATTTAAAGATGCAACAGGGTATAAGGTCAGTTAGTTTCTAATTTATGCTGGTGGCTTTTTTAAGAATTTTGTTGGATGGTTGCAAGCTATGAACTGTGCATTAAGTCACTGCTATCTTTGGTCATACTACTACAATCGTTGATGAAATGAAGAGTATTATATTTCAAAGGCTCTGACAGATGCCTGGTTGTCTAACAGAAACCAAATTTCCACAAATTCAGTCATAATTTTAGTGACACAATCAACCCGATGTGTCAGATCAATGATGGTCTTGAGGATACGGAGCACTTCATATTGTCATGCCATTCTTTTGAAGAACAAAGACATGACCTCCTCGCTTGTGTCATTCCAGTACTGCACTCTTTTGAATTTACCAACGTTCCTAATCCTATCCTTTTACAGATTCTTTTGTACGGCGACAAAAAATTGCCATTTGAAGTAAATAAATTCATTTTGGAATCTACTATCCTGTATATTTCAAGAATGGAACGCTTTGAATGATCATAAAATCAGTTTCATCAAATATCCCTTAATCTTGTGTCTCACCCACTTATTTGCTATTTTCAGTTTTTCAAAACGTATTATCTTGTACCTGTAATCTTCTATATATATATACTTCTTTTCTTTTTTTGTAACATTGATTAAGTGTACGTGTAGTGTTCCTATTTGTTTCTCTAGTTGCATGTAATGGCCATGGGGTTGGCATTGTCCATTGCTCTCCATGGTATCGTACCTGTAGTATCGTAGAGTAATTAGCAAGTAAAGTAGAATGTAACTTGTATTGTAACATTTTATCTGGATATAAAAAAAAAAGATGCCTGCCTCTATGCAATGAAGATTGCATTTTCTTAACAGTGTGTACATGGAGGTAACATAAACATACAACGTTTGTTTCAATAGGAAATAAACCACATTAAGAACTTGCATATTGTTAGAAAGTACTATGGAAGTTGTAGGATCATGTCAAACTTGTTATAAAGAATAAATCGTGCTAAATACACAAACATGCTATCTTCAAAAAATTTTTCACCAAGGATGCCTGAACCACCAATGCCCATGTGAGACTAAGCAATTTTTTCAATTTGTTTTTTTTGCTTTTTTGCTTGATGGACCCTTAAGCCCATCCCAATGCAGGCACATATATATGTCTTTCACATCTGTTTGCTTTCTACTTCAAATCCTTTTATTTATAGCCTATATTTTCATGATATTTCATTGCAGCAAACACATCACTGTCAACCATCTATTCTTGAATTTGTGAGGTCTATTGTTCTACATAACTACTTCTTTAGTTTCTTTTATTTGTTCTATTGTTTCTGCCCAGAGACTCATGCAAAATATGTGAGACTTGAAAGGTCTGGCTAAATATTTAAATAGGTGTAAATTGTATTCAAAATGTATTCATAATTTTCAGGCAATTTTAGAGGCTGGTGATGTTCTTTGTGTACCCAAGCACTGGTGGCACTTTGTAGAAAATATTGAGCCAAGTGTTAGTGTGAATACTTGGATAGAAAAGGTAATGTTTTACCAAGATATATTTTGTTTATTTTTCTCCAATTCTGTTGCTATACAAGAAATCTACTTTGACAAGCTTCCTTTAATAATTCTTGCTGCTGTATTTTTCAAGGAAAGTGACCACTTTGACAGACTGAAAGAAGCTCTTGTCAGACTCATTGTGAGTATATTTTTTAAAATCATAGAATCAATAATGTGACAAGCGGCATGTTGATAACATTCCCTGGTTTTCCCTACATGCTTAATAATCAATCAAGCATTTTATTTCAGTAACGTAAAAACTGTGTCACCTTTAGGCTTTTAAATGGGCTTAATTACTCTCTAATATCTCTCATATGTGCTTTTAGGTTACTTCAATGAAAGAGTCACAGAACTGTTCACAGATATCATGGCTGAATCCAAATGAGGTAAGGTTGACAATCATATTTTAAAGAACATCATCAAAGGTTTCTTGAAAGAAAATTTATCAAAACTGTTTAGAGTGAAAATAGGGTGATGATCTAGAATCTTCAAAAGCTGTTCAATTATTAGTTTGATCAAGATAAACTACCGTATTTCCTCTAAATTACGCAGCGGCGTTTATTACAAAATCCAGCTTTTGAATCTGGCGTTTAATAGAGGGTGGTGTGTATCAGAGGGCGGTGTTTACTACAAAATGAAAAGTTTTTCAAATGAAAAATGACAAGAAAAAATGCGATGGAAAAAAGATAAAAAAAAATTAAAGTAAACAATGTTTTCTTTCCCCCCAAAACACGTAATAAAGATTTTGTGAAAAATTTTTCAAGTTCACGAAGGATGTGTACACTATATGGAAATGTCAAGGAATGTCAATACACTTTCTTCGTAAGAGTCCTCGTCTCTACTATATTACAACTTTCATGGCTTTCGAATAGTAAGCGTATAAACCGTTCGTTGCTTCTCGTTTGGTGTGTCTTCAGATGAACGCCGCTTTTCAAGATGCGGTGTTCAATAGAGGGTGGCGTTTATTAGAGGGTGGTGTTTTTTTTACAAATTGTTGGCTGAAGGTGCGGCGTTCAATAGAGGGTGGCGTTTATCAGAGGGTCATTAGAGCAAATACGGAAAAATAACTTTTATTTTATTTTGGTTTCATGTATAAATGACAATCTTTAACTTTTTCATAAAGCACATTTCTCTTATTCTTAAGGTGGCACACCCTCATGTTATAAATGTTGGATATGTCAAGCACGCCCTACAAAGCATCATAACAAATGCGACAAATTCAGATGAGCAGGAGCAGCATCAAACAATTTCTATCAATACTGACTCAATATTAAATTGCCTTGTTTCCGACAGAGTAGTCAATGCTGTTGTTGATGAGCTTGTGTCAAAATATAACATTCCTACTGGCTGAATTACTTCCAAATAATATAATTTTTTATTTTACCAAGTTATTTTTAAAACACTCCTTTCATTAACATTAAGGGGCTTAAGATCTTCTACTTGTTGATTAGTCATAATCTTTAGCAAAAGCGATAACGAGAAATGAGTCTGATAGAAACATCACATACATACAATAAACTATAAGAAAAGAAAAAATTAGAAAAATACAATTTACCAATTGTTTTGCATAGTCTGCATTTGCAAGCTTGGCATTCGAGGGGGTGGGTAAGTTTTTTATTTCTGAAAGGATTCTGAGCTTTTCAGTTCTTGTCTATCTCACATAACATTCTCCTTAAAATTTGACTGTATCAATTCCAAGCCAAATTGTTGAAGGTCATAGTCACAAAGAGGTTATGGGAAAAGCACACTGTGATCGTAACAATTAAACACAAATGAGCCACTTACTTCCCCTGAAGAAGCCCCTAGCAAAGCCTGGGGGCACTGTCTTCAGTCTTCTTGTCTTCTAAACAACAGAATCTGATTGCTAACAACATATTTTGAAAACAGGAGACTATTTCTATTTGGTGACAACAGATTCTAGGAGCAAGCAATTAATTATGATACCAACAACAGGTTCTCGGTGCAAGCCACAAATTGTGATAGCTAACAACAGATTCGGAGAGCAAATATCCAATTCTGATTGCTAATAACAGATTCTGAGAGCAAGCAACGAATTCTGATGCTAACAACTGATTCTGAGAGCAAGAAACGAATAGAGCTCTCAAGTATGACGTCACAAAAAACTTTTTTAAGAATTTTCGAATTTTGACCACATAACATAAAAGAACACTATAAAATACTCCCATTTATGCAAAATCAGTTAAATTTGTCAAAAATCGGGTGAGCTATGGCCAATAGAAGATCTGGAGTTCGCTAACGGATAACTGTTATTTTGGCTCAGTTCATTAAGTTATGAACTAAGACCAAATTATAGAGGATTGATGAGGCCAGAGATTCTGCTCATCCGCACATATCTCAGCCAATTCGTAATACCTCAAACTGATTTTGCAGATTTAGAGGTATTTCGTGATGCTTTTTCAGGATATGGGAAATAATTCTAAAAAAGATTTTTGTGACAACAGCACTTGACAGCTCTATTCTGATTGCTAAAAACGGATTCTGAGAGCAAGAAACGAATTCTGATTCTAAAGACAGATTCTGAGAGCAAGAAACGAATTCTGATGGTAAGGACAGATTCTGAGAGCAAGAAACGAATTCTGGTGCTAACGACAGATTCTGAAAGCAAGAAAAGAATTCTGATGCTAAGGACATATTCTGAGAGCAAGAAAAGAATTCTGATGCTAAGGACATATTCTGAGAGCAAGAAACGAATTCTGGTGCAAAAAACAGATTCTGAGAGCAAGAAACGAATTCTGATGCTAAGGACAGATTCTGAGAGCAAGAAACGAATTCTGATGCTAAGGACAGATTCTGAGAGCAAGAAACGAATTCTGGTGCAAAAAACAGATTCTGAGAGCAAGAAAAGAATTCTGATGCTAAGGACAGATTCTGAGAGCAAGAAACGAATTCTGATGCTAAGGACATATTCTGAGAGCAAGAAACGAATTCTGGTGCAAAAAACAGATTCTGAGAGCAAGAAAAGAATTCTGATGCTAAGGACATTTCTGAGAGCAAGAAACGAATTCTGGTGCAAAAAACAGATTCTGAGAGCAAGAAACGAATTCTGATGCAAGGACAGATTTGAAGCAAGAAAAGAATTCTGGTGCTAAGGACAGATTCTGAAAGCAAGAAAAGAATTCTGATGCTAAAGACAGATTCTGAGAGCAAGAAAAGAATTCTGGTGCTAAGGACAGATTCTGAAAGCAAGAAAAGAATTCTGATGCTAAAGACAGATTCTGAGAGCAAGAAAAGAATTCTGATGCTAAAGACAGATTCTGAGAGCAAGAAACGAATTCTGGTGCTAAAGACAGATTCTGAGAGCAAGAAACAGAATTCTGATGCTAAGGACAGATTCTGAGAGCAAGAAAAGAATTCTGATGCTAAAGACAGATTCTGAGAGCAAGAAAAGAATTCTGATGCTAAAGACAGATTCTGAGAGCAAGAAACGAATTCTGATGCTAAGGACAGATTCTGAGAGCAAGAAAAGAATTCTGGTGCTAAAGACAGATTCTGAGAGCAAGAAAAGAATTCTGATGCTAAAGACAGATTCTGAGAGCAAGAAAAGAATTCTGGTGCTAAAGACAGATTCTGAGAGCAAGAAAAGAATTCTGATGCTAAGGACAGATTCTGAGAGCAAGAAAAGAATTCTGATGCTAAAGACAGATTCTGAGAGCAAGAAAAGAATTCTGATGCTAAAGACAGATTCTGAGAGCAAGAAAAGAATTCTGATGCTAAGGACAGCTTCTGAGAGCAAGAAACTAATTCTGGTGCAAACAACAGATTCTGAGAGTAAGACACGAATTCTGGTTCAAATAACAAATTCTGACAGCAAGAAACGAATTCTGGTGCAAACAACAGATTCTGAGAGCAAGAAACGAATTCTGGTGCAAACGACAGATTCTGAGAGCAAGAAACGAATTCTGGTGCTAAGGACAGATTCTGAGAGCAAGAAACAAATTCTGGTGCTAAGGACAGATTCTGAGAGCAAGAAACGAATTCTGGTGCAAACGACAGATTCTGAGAGCAAGAAACGAATTCTGGTGCTAAGGACAGATTCTGAGAGCAAGAAACGAATTCTGGTGCAAACGACAGATTCTGAGATCAAGAAACGAATTCTGGTGCTATGGACAGATTCTGAGAGCAAGAAACGAATTTTGGTGCGAACGACAGATTCTGAGAGCGAGAAAAGAATTCCGATGCTATGGACAGATTCTGAAAGCAAGAAACGAATTCTGATGCTAAGAACAAATTCTGAGAGCAGTTTAATCAAAACATGCTGTGTACTGTAAGCTGTTCTATAAGCTGCATTAAAAATTGAATGAGTCTTTTCAAGGAAGGGACTCAGCAGCGCCTGGAAAGCTGTGAGATGTGGTTCTTAAGGAAGATGAAGAGAATACCGTGGACAGACAAGGTGAGCAACGAAGAAGTTCTTACAAGAGCCGGTGTAAATAAAAGGCTTATTAAAGATATCGGAATGAGACAGATGCGCTTCTAGGAGCATGTGCTTCGGAAAGAGGGACTTGAGTACTTGGCACTAACTGGAAAGATAAGGGGAAGAGAAGCAGGGGAAGGCAGAGAATACTGTGGATGAATAGCATAGTTGGGTGGATCCAAACAAATGGTACAACAATCAAGGAGACAGATCTAATTCACATGACTAAGAACAGAGAATTGTGGCAAAGCATGATCGTCAAAGTCTCATGATATGGCACCAAAGAGAGAGAGAGAGATGACGAAGAAAACTCGAACGATTTTACTTTTATAAAAGACATTGATGGGATTGAAGTAGCTCTACTTTAGTTACTTTTTGTTGCTGTTATGTTCTGTTTTGTTCTACAAAGGTGTTATGGTCCTGGTTCTGTCTTTGGAAAAATTAAAAGATAGATTCAAAGTCTCTCATTTTCTGTAATAGTTCCTAACATTAACTAAAAGTCTTGCTAGCATAAAAAATTAAATATAAGGAACCCCAAATATAAAAATCATGAAATCATAATTAAGAAACTCTTAAGAAATAATGAGTATTGAAATTTCCAGAATATTAAGAAACTGGAGTACTCAATATCGACCTTTGTTTCTTATAAAAAATTAGTGTTAAGTCCATAATCTAATCAACTTTACGCAGCTTGGGCAATATCTGCAATGGTAAAGCACATTGCTACAAAGAGCCACTGCGGTATGTCCTTGTCGAATCGGACGTTAGTTAGGTTTCTATTATGTGACAATTATTTGGCTTACTGCAAACGAAAAATAGCAACCTCGGAACAATTTTTAGAAAATGGTTTTTGCATGAAATTGGTTTGAGCATTTGTAAGTTGGTATCAAGGTCTAGATGCTTCGAATAATAAATAATATTTGATGGAGGAATCAAGGATCGAGTGAATGTCCAAAATGCACAGTTAAAGCGGCAGCATTAAACGAAGCGGTTGATAAGATGGCAACATCTCTGGCTATATAAAAAACTGCCCTTTATTTCTACATTTTTAGAAAAAATATTTCTATCGAGAACAAAAACTTTCCTAAAAGTTGGCAAATTTCCTGATTAAAATCATTTAGGGAGCAACAGTATTGCACAGCTTGAAGAAGCAATGGCGGCACAGCTGCAAAATGTTTCGCTAACCAAAGATCAAATAGCTACAGCAAATTAAATAAAAGATGTAAGATGACATAAAAGTTGTAGATAGAAAAAAGGAGAACTTATCAAGGTTTATCATTAGAAATAACAGATTCAAGAGTATTCTTGATTTTTGCCTACTTTAGACACTATCGACAGATGAACTGGGATACACTTACTTTATGCTTGGGTGCCTTAAACTGCTAATTTTCCTTTCTGTTATTGGGGAATAGATTAAACGTCTTGGTCGGAAATTTTGGTGCTGCAACGGGACTACTGGCAGAGACCATTTCGTGATATGTTGCAAAGGAATTCATTCGATAAGATGTGTCCCAAATCGTCACCTCTCTTTTCCCATCCATAGCGATGTTGTCTAAGGTGCGAATCGCTCAAATCTTCATTTCATTTCCTCAATGAATGAAAAGACCAAAGTTTTACTCGAGGTATGTACACTTGAGAGCCTCAATGTCATAGAAAGTGTACCTATACAAATGACAGAAAATATGTCACTTTCCACAAAGTAAATTGACGTTAAAACCCTACAGAAGTTGTTTACATTACTACAGGCGCAGATCTAGCGAAGATCCAGCGCAGATTTGAAGGAGGGGCATTTGGTAATGGGGGCACTGAAAAATTTAAAGAAATTGGTGGCGAGACTACCCTGTATACAACAATTTCAGACCCTTACTACTGACAGACGACTCTCTATTCGAGGAAATTTTCACAATAAATGTGCCAAAAATTAATAGATTAATTTTCCGAGTGAACATTCGCTGCTCTGCCATAGCGGCTCAAACTGAGCTAGAGTACTCTGCAAAGAGGCTGACTTGTATGCTTTTTCCTTACAGGGAAATGGAATTTTGTAGGGCCTGAATTTCCACTTTTGGTTTAAGTTTAACTTGGAGTCTGGCTGTATAATGAGACAGTAATTCAAAAGGGCCTCTCCAGCCAAATTTTGCACTTGCATTTTATTGGCTAATCTAAAGGAGCTGAACCTGCTGATCACGAATTTGTTATTTGTTTTTCGATATTTTGTACAGTTTGTGAGATATAAGCTCTTGCATTTCGATAATTGAATTGAATTAACCGACAAAAAATTTTCGGTTTGGTGACACTGTGACGGAATTTTGACGTCACAGTGTATTTCGTTAGTCTCGCCTCAAACCGAATCGAACGACGGCGATTCGCAAATTGAACACTGCAAGTGTTGGTACTCTCAGTTCTGTTCCACCCGCTTTTAGTTTGAGCATTTCAGATATCAATTCTGAAGCCTTAAGTTCTTCAGCGTTTCTGGAGAACAACTGAAGTGTCAATTTCGATTAATTATACGCGAGGGAAGAGCTAGAACAGGAAGCCGTAGCTTTGTGGGCCTACACAGGTGATCAAAACAAAGTCGTGACACAGCATGGACACATTCCGACCCGCAAACTTAGAATAATTGTAAACATTTAATAGTTTATCCTAAAAAGCCCCTGCTCTAGATTTAGATGCCGTCACAACGCGTGACCATGACTCCTTCACGATTCGGTGGAAGATATACGAAATTCATGGCGAACGAGAGCCGCACATTGTGACGTCAGAATGTCACAAAACTGATTCGGCTTTTGTCGTTTTTTTCTCGGAAAGGTGCAACTTTAAAGCCTTATAACTTCTAAACTAATTGGAATTTTGCAAAAACAACAACTTTGCCATAATACACGCACCAGATGCTAACTTTTTAGTCAATTAAAAATATTTTTTTTGGCTGTAGAGGCCCTTTAATGAATGCTTCTAAAATTCAATAGTATGTTGTTATTGTAAAAGGTAAGATTGATGCTGGTGGCAGAAAAAGTTTTATAACTATGACATTTTAGAGATAACTATGACATTTTAGAGAACCAAGGACCCTAGGCACAAAAGACAAATATTCTACCACAATTATGCTCCATAGTTCTATTTGGTTTGATTATGAAATGAGGATTATACAACTTTTAAGCGAAAGAAATTGAATACTGTTTGAATGAAGGCAGGAACTGAAGAACACAACTTTATGGATAGCCTTTTGTTGTCTTCAAAAGCGTGACCTTTTTAGCAAAACATGATCCATTTCCAGAATAAAGAACTAAACTTTGAGGTTATCCTTGAAGTAAATTAACCTATAGGTCTCAGAAACTTTTTCACCTGATTCTCATTCTTCAAAAGGGGCACACAATTTCCAAAAAAGGAGTGCCAGACTTGCTTCAACTTGTCGAAGGAGGGGCAACTGCCCCTAGTTGCTCCCTTCCCCCTTAAATCTGTCACTGCACTACTAAATATCTCATAATTCAATGAGATCATAATCTCACCATGAAGAAACACATTAAAACCTTAATTTCTAAAGCTTCCTGGGCAATAGGTTTTCTGAAATATGCAAAACCTATCTTCCTACTGACACTGTAAAAAATCTAACATTGTTGAACAGCGATTCCAATAATGCTGCTCTGATTGGGGCTGTAGCAGTTCCACAGATATATTGTTTAGTTACAGAACCTTAAAAGCAGCCTATCCTTTATATAACTGACTGCAACTTTGCCACTACCAGTAAACCTTTTGATAAAGACATTAGGTCAGCTAATCACCCAACAGCTAATTGCCCGGTGAATACAAATTTTAAAATATGTGCTATTGATGTTTGCACTCATACAGCACAAAAGGCCACTTAGCAAGGAAAAAGAAGGAAAACATACAAAATAGGCATTGAAAGCCTAACCCCTGTCCCCATAGAAGCTTTTCTAATTCCATGAAGGACATAACCTTATTATTGGAGAATCTGTAATTGAATAGTTTTAGAACTCTTGAAAGAGGTACAAGTTTCAGCATGTGCATCTCAACTGCTAAATAATTGTTGACAGTTCAAGCCTCAGCTAAAGAATAAAGGATGCTTGCCTAAACAGTCTGGATTTGATTGAAAACAGCCAAAATTGAAGCCAACCTTAAGACAACTTTTCCACTCTCTACAAGCATATTTCTGATTCAATAACAAGAATTGCAATAAGTTTTGATTTTATCACTCCATAAGGTTATTCAGTTCCTTTATGGCTGTTCTCTTTAAAAAAGTTTTATTGCTTTGAAGAAGTAAATTGATTTCACTAATTACACTTGTAATTGATGCTTTATACTGTTTAACCATGAGAAGGATTAATTTTGGAACTTCAATTGAATCCATCAGTTGCTTTCCATTTTTAAGAAGCATAAATATAATTGAAGACATTGCACTTGCAGGGAGCATTGGAACTTTCCCTAAAATTGCTGTTAAACAACGAATAACACAACAATTGGCACCAAATTGTTCATTTGAACTGCGATCAAAAAGTGCATGCAGTATGATAGGGAAATCGTCATTTTCAATTACATCTGAATTCAATATCTTGAGTAAAACATTCTCCTGGGGAGATTTTTCCTTTCCATGCAAAAGCAATGGAACAAGAATTGATTTAATGAATTCATTCTTTGAAACCTTGAACCAGTTTTGTAAAAAGCTGTGCATATTTCTTGACATTGGTCTTTTGAGATTCTTTAGAAATTCCAATAATGATTCACTTACAATCTTCTGTTTGACTGAGGAGCTCAACATCAGCTCTTCTGACTCAATGCATTGTATCAAATTAAAAAACTCGATTTCATCAAGGCTGCCTGTTGCAAGACTGTGGCATATTGATTCCATCTCAATGCATGATCTACCTGCAATCTTTATGATGTATCTACAGATGGAAGATAAATCTGAGGGGGATTGTAACATCTGTCTTAATTTTTTCATTTCCTCATCGGGCCAAACTTGTTGTTGAGGCAAATGGCCTTTTGATGACAGTGCCTTAACACCATTAACATTAATACCTGTGTTATTAAAATCTTTGTCTTTAACACAAATAATTTCATCAGTTTGATCAAACCTTCGCTTTTTGCTTGGTACCTTCAATATTGGTGTCTCTGAGCCACCTACCGACTCTAGTTTTCGTCTTGCTTGACAATTCTGTTCAGCATTCTTATCAGTGCTGCTATCAATCAAATTTTCCTCTTTAGGATCTTCATTATCTTCATTATGAAGAATGTCAAGAGTTTTCTCGCTAATTGGATACATTTTTGACTTTTTACATGACCCATTCATTGCTTGTATGACGGGGACAGTATATGAATTGAAGGATTTCTTAGTTTGCTCATTTTCTATCCCAGCACCATAGAAACTTCCTTCTGCATAACCTGCAAATCCTTTTCTATCAAGGCAAGTGTAATTTGCCAGGGTGTTTAGGTAACTCTCTGCTTCACCTGACAAAACTGTTTGATTTTTATTACCATACCTGTTACCATTTCTATTCACAATTAATTCATTAGTTGTTTCAATAAAAGTTGATGAAGTGTGTGATTCATTAGGTTGTGTTTTGTGTGCCCCACAATGCAAATGATCTGCTAAGAAGTGCTTACGTACAAGCATTTGAGACCAACCACTTAGTCTCTCGACGTTTTCTACCAAAAATGTCCCAAACGTTCCATAATAAAATTGACTAATGTTGTTTTTATTATGAGCAGCAAGCATTATTAAATTCTTTTGCGCATCCATAGGCAAAATAAGGAACCTAGACGTATACCCGAGCTTTCCCTGCACTACAAACGGTATCTCTTCCATCAAATCTTCTATCAAATCCCCCCATTTCATGAAGTTAGGTGTAGGCCTTGTATTGTTTGGTTGCCAGGGGCCTTGAAGACGCCACGATCTAAACGCTGCAGATGATTTCCTAATACAGTTTTGCGCCTTTGTAAACGCATCAGGAAAAAGCAAACAAATCTGGATTACCTCTTGCCATTCAGATGAAAAAGACTGAATGGTGAAAGAGCTCTTCTCTGCCTTGCCTTGCATTTTTCTACTCCTAATCCGTTACTGATGTCCTTTTACTTTGTATATAGAATAGAAATATTTTTCAGTAACTTTTTTGTATGAATTGAATTGATTCAACTCAATTGAATCAGAGTTTGGTAAAAAGTATATGCCGTACAAGCTCTATTGAGCCCCCTCTCTTTTAAGCTCCCTCTCTATTAAGCCCCCTTAAAAGGCAAAAATTGAAAAAAACCCTCTCTTTATTAAGCCCTCTTCTTAAGCCCTTGATGTCAAACAAAGAAAACATATGCACTGAGTAGGTCTCTTGACGGGTGTGATCAAAGATGATGCTAGTATCTTTGTGTGATGACGTTAAGATTGTGTGCATTAATTACGGCCCATGAAAATATTTACTATGAGTAAGCTCACGGTCTAAATTCAAGTTAACTTGAGGTAGTGTGAAATAGCTAGCGATAAGGCTGCGTACACACTGAGAGCGAAATAGCGAAGCGAAGCGAATGAGCAAATTAGCGTTCAGATAGTTTGTACTGAAAACAATACGCCTGTTCATATCAAGACAGAGCGATAGCGACACGGAGCGACAAGATTACTTCTCGTGTATTTGATCGCTGCGAACGGAAAGGAATAACAGCAATGGGCGTCGATTATATCGTTGCCATACAACCGATTAGTTACTGGGAATAGTCTGACGATACTGGTCTTCAACCAGACCAGTATTAAAGTACATGGCCTCATATTTGGGGAAAAGGGTGGCCCCCAATAATTGCCAACTGTACTTTATATGGGAAGCAAAACAATAGACATCCCCCCACCAATATAAATTTTTTTCAACGACACTGCAATAACGAGTCAAACATAGATGAATACATTCTGAATCTGAAATAGCCTTGTCATTCCTCAACTGCGGCACCAAATAAAGATATTTACCAGATAAAAGCAAATATCTATTTTTAATAAAAATCAGAACCCAGAATAGTCTTCGTTTGGAAAGTAAAGAATATTTAAGAAATAAACTTTCAGATAAAAGCATTCTTTTTCGTTTTAAATAAGCCATTCCGGTATCAAACTTCACCCTGCACAACTGTCTGATTCGCGATATTTTGCTCGCTGCATGTTGTTCCGTTCGCTTCTGTTCGCTTCGCTTTGCTTTGCTTCGCTTTTTCGCTGCAGTGTGAACGCAGCCTAACGCGAGCTTACTCAAAATTAACCCGTGAACCAATTCGGTTTCCACTTAATCACTTTCATTCGAGTCTTGCAGCTATAGCGGGCGTCTTACAAGAACAACTTATTTTACTTCTGCTTTTGACAATTCGTAGAAGGATAATATTGTTTTGCTAGAAGTGCCGTTTGCGATCTGCGCCAATGTTTTCGGTAGCGAAAATCTTCCAAAAAGATATGCGTTGGTGGATACAACCACTTGGAACAGGAACTTCGAAATGGGAACATATTTCTCTTATTTCAGAACTGACTTTTCTTTGAGTAAAGAAAATTGTTTTCAAGTTTCGATGTTATATGATGGGTTGACGTTTTTAAAGGCAAGGTACAATAATACTACAGCGTAGATTGCAAAGAGAGTCGGTGCGAGCTTGCAACCCTGTTTTACTCCACTGTTGTATGCTATTGGATTAGAAAGTTCTCCATCAATAATAGCTCTGGCATGGGTATCAGGATGCAATTTATGGATGATACCAATAAATTTAGCAGAGCAGCCGAGTTTTCCCTAAATCTTGAAGAGCATATCACGATTTACACTATCAAAAGCCTTAGAGAAATCAATAAACACGATGTGCAGGTTTCTTCTTTGCTCTCTACATTTCTCCATTATTTTTCAGAGAGTAAATATCCCGTCAATGGTGCTTCTGCCCTCTCTATAACCTGATTGTGATTCAGGGTAAACAGCTTCCGATAGACTTTGTTCTCAAAGTCTTTGTAGTAAGATAAGGGGCGTCACCTAATACTTTTTATTGGGGGGGGGGGGCTGGTGGCTGCACATTTTCCCTGCAGAAAAATTTTGTCCTGGCAAAAGCCGAAAATGTGGGGAATCGGCCCTCGGTTCCCGTAACACTAAAATAATTATCAAGGTAACTCGTACCCACTTAGGCCTTTGCTTATTGTATCCACTAGTTCACCGACGTGTTTGCCTAGCCTTGGGGAGGCGAGCAAGAGAAAGTTTTATAATGAGTGAGGCAACCCTCCATCCTGAAGTTAAAGAGCATGCCCTTACTTTTTACAACACGCTTTTGATCTGCACACTAGCATCCCACTGACTTCGTTACACCAATACGTGAAATCACTATAGACAAACGTTTTTCAAGACGAAGTGTATCAAAGCTTCCCTCGATGCCATCAAAAATCATTATGGGGAAACCATTCCGCTGCATATAAAATAGAACAAATGGTGACTTTTATTCTCAAACATAATTATATTGCCTTTACACTCTCTTTTTTATAAGAATAATTTTATTAGAACACAAGCCTCTAAATTGGTCAAAGTTAAAACCAAGCGGAGGCTGAGCTGCTGTAAAATTTAACTTTGAAAAATGTTTCATTTAAAAACCGGGATTTTTTTGCCATCTAGGGGTCCTTATTCGACGAACTTTCTAACTTTTCGGAAAATAAAGGATATCTTACTCACTTTGTTGGCAAACGAGGCTTTAACACTTCCCTAGAGCTCAATTGCTAGCAATTACACAACTTATAATTTAAGAAAAAATTCAGAAGAATCCATCCTCAGATTTTCGCACAAATTAAGAATAGCCAGCCTGAACTTTATTTTACTGGTTCTTATAAAAAAAGAGTGTAATGGTAAATTTTATTAACATCCCTAAAGGCACCGCAGTGTACCGATGAGGCATTTCGATAGTTTCCACGTTGGCTTCTAGTTCCTCTCTTAAAAAGGATGCAAATGTTGGCATCAGTAAAGTCGGATGGCATAACTTCTGTTATTCAGACACGATTAAAGATTGCCAAAAGGAATGATCGTAAAACATTGCTACAATAAAGGAGCACCTCTGGTATAATACCATCAGGTCCTGAGCTCTTTTTAGCTTGGTGTTATTGATTACTTTTTCTATTTCTTCCAAAGAGATAGGCTCATCCAATTTTTCAATGATTGGTTTTTGCTCTATATCATCGAGTATGTCCGGATCAACATCGGTTGGTTGATTAAGAAGCTCACTAAAATGCTCAACCCATCTGTTTTTTATGTCTTGTTTAGCCAAAAGAAGAACACCAACTTTTGCTTTTACTCGATGGACGTTTTAAGATTTGGGACCATACACAGCTTTTAGTGTTGCATAGAACTCTCTGTGATTCCTCTCATTCGAGTATCTTTCTGTTTCTTTTGCTTTTTGTTGAAACTATTCATTCTTGAGCTTTCTGATTTCATCTCTAAGTGCTTGCTTGTCAGCATTTAGTTTCTTATCTTTCTACAGATTTCGAATGTCATCCTCTTGGTCGTAAACCAATCTATGCTCTTTCTCTTTTTCTTATCAAATATATGCTTTGCAGCAAGTTGAAGGGTTTCTCTGAGATGTTCCCAGGATTCTTTGCATTCAGGAAGTTGTTCGTCAAGGAAATTCTCAGGCTTTTCTCTTCTCTCTTCACTCATGATGGTATCTGGTTTAGGTGAACGTTTTGGTGTCCTCTTTTTCTTTTTAATCACGATGGATAATTTACAAAAAAAAAGCTTATGATCTGTGCAGCAATCAGCACGTGAGTTGATCTTTGTAACATTAATGAATTATCTGGCTTTTTCATCAGCTAATACATGGTCTAGCTGATGCCAATGTCTGGAACGGACAAGTTGCCAGTTAGTTTTAAGGTGATTTTTACGATGGAGCATGGTACCCATGACACAAAGTTAAAAACAAGTACAAAATTCTAACAGAAGTAGAGCATTTGAATTCATTTTGCCAACTTCATGCTTTCCTATGACTGATGTCCAAGTCTGCCAATCCTATCCAACTCGGGCGTTAAAATCACCTAAGACAATAATGCTGTCTCCTTTTACCTTGGTGATACAATCACCGAGCTGCACATAGCACATCTCTTTCTCTACTTCTGATTGCTGCATTGTAGGAGCATAGACACTGATTACAGTCAGGTGAGTATTGTCTTTAAGCGAAATACGAGCTGTCATTAATCTATTGTTTACTGGAGCAGGGCTAGCGTCTGTTGTTTACAAATGCTAGATTCCGTTCTAAAACATTTCTAAAGTTTTGTATTTATTTCAGGGCCTCGTTTTGACTTAGACTGGATAAGCATGAATCTATATTTATGCTGTTGAGATACGTTACGTACAAAATCGTATCATACGTATTGATTGAATTTTTAGAGGACTTCTACGCAGTGCTGTAGACTAGGCAACCCTTTTAGTTTAGTAGGTGCAACCTTCCCAATAGATTTTGGAGAGGATGGACCTGTCAAATTGCGTCGGAGAGGATGGACCTGTCAATTATTATGTAGAATGACACTTAAATAAATATCTATATTTATCCTGCATGTGTGGATAGAAACAGAGAACAGTCCAATGCTTGTAAACTAAATGAAAATCATTTTGAAATCATTTTGCATCAAAAACATAGAAAAATATCATTGTTTAATAATATTAAATCTTAGATCACGAGCCGCATTAGGAATTTTGTTGCCCTGTGCACAGGTTATAATGGGGACCCCATGTAGAAACCTGTACCGCGATATAACATGCATGTTAAGAATCTTTGTACAAAATGTAATAAGCGAGCTAATTGTGTTACAATTAAAACACATTCTTGGGATTTAAGCAGATCAGGGGTTAAAATGTATGGGGGGGGGGTAAATGAGACAAGAATGGGACAGGAAACAATTGTGGATTCTCTCCAAGCTTGATGACCAGATTAGAAAGTTACTGTGAGATCAAATATCATGTTATTGTAAGAAAATAAAATCATGCTCATTTCAACGATATTTTTTCAGAAAATTAAACATGTTTTCTTTTGTGTCGCTACGAGTATGAAATAGTTGGTGAAAATTATTTAACTCAGACAAACTAGACAGGTTTGCAAAAGAGAGATTGGCGAATGCTTTGAAATACAAATAACTTATTATTGAAGCTAAAATATTGCGGGACATAATTGAATTTAGAACATAACCTGTCCATGGATATATTGCAAATACAACGATGAAAACAAACAAAGTGCGGCCTACCGACAAATTTTGAAATATTTTATGCAGTTTCAGTTAATTGTGTTGCCTAATTTTGACGAAGAAAACGTGAGTAAACCCTTTGCCAAAAGGTCCATCTGCAAGAGGCTTTTGTCCAAGTCATCTCTTAGACTTGAATATACGATAGCCTTTTCCCTTCTGTCCCAGCTTGGTGTTGGTGTCGATTTGCTGCGAGCTTTTGCGAACATCCTTCTCTTTATAAGTGCATCTGCAAAAACAAATTCATCCCAATTTATATCACATTGCCTCTGACTTATTGTTACTAGCGTCCGGTAAAATTTGAGCAGTTGAAAGAATGTATCAGCTTTATATTTTTTTACATTGAAAATACTTCTAATATGAATTAAAATACGCTTATAAAAGGATGCTGTCAAATGAAAAGGTACCTTTTGGGAGATAATTTTCAGTTTCTTTCAGTTCTAGCAAATATTTGGATCCTGTTACACTCCAGTCATTAAAAGTCTTGGCTTTGCTTAATTGTTGCTGTTCCACAGATCTTTCCTGTAGATTATCTGTTGTAAAAACTTTATCAGACCTAAAGGCCTTTTTATATTCATCGTCCCAAGTATTATTGCATTCTCCTTTCAAATTTGGTATGTCTTCGATTGTTCTACCACCTTGCTGAAGGCTACCGTCAGTGATTTTTGCTATAGAGAAGCCCGTGAGCTTGACGGCACTATCAAAAGCATTTTCGTCAAGACATCTTTGAAAGCTTTCGTTTAGTGCCAACGACCAAGGACGAAACTTTCCGTATTTTTTTGTGAACCCTTCTAATGATTTCGGTCTAGGTTTCTTCTCCGAATTCACACAATAATTGAGAATCGGCACTGAGTAGCGTTTTGTTTTTAATATCTTTTCTTTCTGAATATTTTCAGATGTTTCCTTAAATTCTTTTGCATTAAATTCGATCGTTTTGGTGGGCTCCTTTTCTTCAGAAGAATTAGCCACCCCCTGTCCACATTGCCTGTTTTGTTTCCATTCTGTGATTGCACATCCAGCATCGGCAAAATCGTCATCTGAATAGAGATTAGATAAATAACTGAAGCGCAGGATACCAATAAAATAAACAATCATAAAAAATTTCGCTTTCTGGCATCATGAATGAAAAATTTTGAATCCGAGGTGTACAGCAAAAAATATCCAGAATAGCAAAGATATGAATTCGGATTTGACAAAGATTCATATTAGCTTATCTAACTGCCATAGAGAACGCAGATTGTACAAAACATAATTGCTTCAAGCGATTGACAAGCACATGAAACTGCTAATCGCGTATTTTGCATTTAGGCCATTGCGAATGTTTATACAGTAATAATCCAATTGGAAACAATTATCAGTCCTGTAGATAGGAAAGTTTTTTAAGATATAAACAAGCAGTACGAGTTGGATCAAAATTCCTTGTGAACTATATGTACAACAAAAATTATGTTTGAAACTTTTTTAGATGTAAATAGAGCACTTCACCTTGGGACTTCATCTCAGGCTGGACGAGAACTGGATGCACGTTTACCTGACCTTCCAATAGCCTTTGAAAAATATCATAAATATCAATGTTAAAAACAGCAACAATAAAATTGGTTCAGCCTTCTGATAAAAGACACGCAGCACTAGCGTTTAAATATCAACTACTAATTTCTGCGAATCAACATTAGCTCAAAATACAGCTTACAATTGCAGCTAGTGATGTTTGCATTAACCGTTTACTCAAAGATACACTACACTCTAAAGTCATATTCTAGTTTTCAAAAAGTTACTTATAATTCTTATAATAATAAATCGCTTATAATAAATCATACTTCCTAATGATTAGTACAAGTTTCTTAGAAAATATCTGCTGCAAAGTCTAAATAAATTTCTTAAAATCCTGTTATGGATTTTTGTCATTTGATATTAATGATGTTTCGAAGTACCAAAGGCTACTACCATTATTTCAACGCCATCTTGATCTACACGGCTTGTCTTTCTTTTTTGCTAGCATTTTTTAGCTTGAGTTTGCTTCAAACTATTAAATGTTGTTAAGTTCGCTACCAAGACACCTTCTTCCTGACTCTCACTAATCAAGTTATGCCTAACTCTAGATTGACATTTTTCTCAATTGGTTTATTATAATATATCAAGCAGAAACTGTTGGCTCTTTTCTGATCTTTTTCACTTTCATAGGTATTTAGAAAGTTTGTGTCCTTTAGCAAAATTTCAACATAACTAACAACATATAAAAGGGTTAAGTTTTGTGACATATTGGTCTTATTTTGTTGATGACATCGCAATACGCAAAATTATTGCGCCGATTCGACAAATATCTAAAGGCGACATCGGTATAAGTCTTCGAATTTGATAAGAGCAAAGTATCTCCGAGCTCATTTCAACGAAATCTTGAGAATTTTATAAAAGCAAATTTTTTTTATTGCAAATATCTAGAGATGATCCTGTTTTTATTGCCTGCTATGAAATGGATTCAACTTTTCTTTCCTAAATAGCTTTGCTGTTAACTTGGTGGTGATAGTATTAATTCAAATAATTCTGTACTTTATAGAATGACTCCAAAGAAGCCTCGTTTATCCAACTTTTGCTGTAACACTATGAAACGCGTTTTCTGTAAGTACAGGGGAAATTTTTTATATACGCAATGTAAAAATGTACATGAATGAAATTACTAATAATATACCAAAAGAAGCAGAAAATCCTGACTACCCTAAGGCCAAAACATATAGAAAGATGTAGAAGGCTTGGCGCTCTTGAGGGATTTATTGGACTAGCTCTCTTTCTGTCTTGCATAGCATAAAGAGAGATTTATAGTGTATTGTTCATTAGGAAAATTGCAAACACATCACCTTCCATCCTCAGATTTCTGTCCTGACTCCATACTTTCATCTTCTAATATAGGCAGACAGTCTAGAGTGAGTATAGGTTCTAACACGGACGGGATTCGTCCACCTCGACTATAAGAGTCGCTAATGAAGCCTGAGTCATAATGAGAATGGAATTCAGAAGCAAGGGCCACGCGAGTTGGTTTGGTCTCAGCAGGGGCGGCAAACGAGCCCATTGGAGTTTGATCACGCGTGTTCTGCGACTTTTGTCTCCATGGATCTGAAAAATTACATCGAAAAATTGCTGGTTTTAGAAATGAAATGTGATCACCCAAGGGTCAACTTGCTGCTGAAAAGAGAAGATTACGCATGAAGATAATTAAAAAAGGGCACGAATCTTTGTCGGCAACTTTTATTCGCGAATTCATTTCAACCAATTCTCCATTCCAGCTATGAACAAAGGAGCCTGCATCGCTGACCTGATCCTCTTTTTTAGGTCATGCCACACAAGAGCACCCGTCGTAAGTCTGTCAGATATATGTATTCACTACCATTACGTCAAACATAATAAGGTCATAAGTTTTTCAAGGAAAAGGACAAAAGCTACATAAAGCAGACAGATATATGAAATAATGAAACCTTATCTGAAGCTTCTTGATTGGGTGTTGTTTGCAATGCATTCCACATTTTATTTGATTGTGAAAAGTGTAGTGGATCAGCAAAGTCAGTGCGGCGATTGAGCAATCAGCTTATATAAGAGTATCAGTCATACCGAAATAGGCCAGGGGAGGTCTCAAAACCCTGCACTCTTTATAATGGCACTCTTTTTAATATGCTCTGGCTATGGCACTTTTTGTAATGTGTTCGATACATGTAACAAACCATACTGAAGCATATGCGGGCACTAAGGCCTATAATAACCTAGATGAGCCAAAAATATAGGACCAATGAGATATTAACGAAAATTTAGTACATTTTTTGGGGGGAGGGAGGGCGGTCGGTGGTTTCAAGAAGCATCTCGAAAAGACGATATTAAAGGATTTAAGCAGCTTGCTAAACCAAAATAAACAATTCTAAATGCATAAAACCGTTTTACCTACCAAATACATCACTGTCTGGTCTGGCAAATCCAGCGTAAGAGAGCAGTTTTCGATAATAATAGAAAAATCCACGTCGATATGGTTTGCAGAAGGAGGCACATGCTATGGGGTTTAACATTGAGTTAACCACTGCAACTCGCATTGCGAAAAGATCGACTTTGTCGTGAGACAGAGGCAAAGCCTTCACTAGATTCAGAAGTAAAACAGCCTGAAAAAAAAGTTCTTAGGTTGGTCATTTTGAATCAGCTGTAGCCTAAAAATACAAAACACCACGGAGATTTTTTAATGATCTTATTCATCATTTCCGTAATCTGGCTACCAAGCAAAAGCAATCTTGCAGTTTATCTATCCCTGATCTACTTGTTTCTTTTTAATATAATGCAAGGCTAGATAGCTCTCACGAGTCCTACAGATTCGTTTATCCTACATACAGTTTAATTGCTGTTGATCTTAAGTCGTTGAGTTCCTGGCGGGTCAGCTATAGGGGTGTAGTTTCAATCATGCGCGTCAACGAAATCTCCGAGAAAGGGAGCGAAATTTTCAGCACATCTAGAACAAAGAAACCAGGAAAAAGAGCAACTTTTTAAAGATAATATCCCAAGATAATTTGAGGTGATTAGAGAAAAAGGGGAATCGAAATAAAGGGTGAAATAAAATTCCAGCATGAACCATCATATGTTTATATGTTAAATGATAAAATTACGAGGGATAAATGCAAACTGCAACATCAATTAAAGTCTGGTGATGAAATAATTTTAGTAGTTTGGGTTTAACATTTAGGTTTCTAAGATAAAGTTAAATATCGTAAATGTTTGTTAAGTCAGTTACATCACCCAGTCACATGAATTGTGTCATGTTATCATTTCTGTCAACAAATGATTCCGTTTGTAGACACAGCATTTTCTATCATATATTTTCCTGAAAAAGGCATTTTGTATGAATGCTTTCGATTTCTTTCCCGGTGATCTCGTTACTCAGGTATTTTACATTTGGAAGTAGCAGCGCAGGTTCTGCACACAATAATATGACGAGAATTCTTAACACAATAATAAGGATTCCATGAAAACATAACGCAACCATGCAACAATTTTTTTAAAAATAATACTTGGTAGAAAAGCCATGTTTAAGAGAGCAAGACTTCTACTTTGGCAGTTGCGTCGCCAGCTTGAAAAACTGGGGTAAAGGAAAATAATTTCTTGACGACGCCCTTCAGACTTTCTCAAGCAGCATTTTTCGTCATGGGGGATGTTTTGAAAAACGTTAATCAAAAGTGATCTGGTAAACCCCCTTCCCCAAAAGTTTTTAAACAGATTGTCCACCCCAGTCTATCCCGTGGCAACGGCACTATACGGTGGTAGCATTAGCTAGACCTTGATTTAATGTTGACCATATATTAGCACCATGTATAATTATCTGTGAAATCTTGCAATAATGGGCTCTTTTTTACAAATTAGTGAGAGAAAAGGCGACAAAAAGGTTTGTTTTCTTCATTCGATTAGGGTCATTTGAAAAATTATCGGCAAGCATGGTCACCATTGAGCTGACCCGCCGGGGCTGAATCGTTTCTTTGCTATCAAGTGCACCGATACAGCGAATGAAATTTGAATTAAAAACAAGGCTGTGTTAAACTGAGGCTGTCAAAGACTTCAGTGAACTTGTTCGAATCACCGAAATGAACTGAATAAAAACGTTAAACTTTATAACTTACAGAGATAATTTAAGACAATTCGCAATTCTAAAAGGTGATAGAATTAAAAATTGAAAGACTTACAAGGAATGGGAACCAGCTGAACCAGAATAACAGCATTAAGCCAAGTGTTAGATATGAAAACATCTTCTCTACTTTCAAGTTTATTTCTCCACTTTTCTTTCTCTTTCCGCTTGATGTTGAAATGGTGCGAGAAATGGCAAATCTCTTATGTCTTTTTATTAGGTCTCTTATTTTATAAAACACTATTGAATATGCAGCCAAGACTACAAATGTCATTAAAAAGCCGTAAAATAATATGAAAATCGAGTAGATTTTCGATTCTGTCGATTTATCTGCGTAGTTGAAGTGGCAGTATGCTCCGTTGTTGTAAGCTTTCATGCGGCCGAATCCGAGAACGGGAAGAAGTGAAATAAATGCTGAAAATACTACGGCAACGAAAACTGTTATTTCCATGCGTTTTTTCGTTATGGAACTTTTGTATGCGAAGGGTCTGACAATGGCGACAAACCGCTCTATCGCCATCATCGTTAGAATAAGCATTGACGCACTGTTGGTTGTGAAAGCGATCCAGCCAAGAAGTCGCAAGGAATCGTTCCAGTCTTCATGAACCAAGAAGTTAAGTAAGTGCATACAGACATGGGGACGGGCACAAGGCCCTTAGTCAGGTCAGTCATTGCTAGCCCAAGCACCAAAATATCAATGCAATTTTTTGTACGAAACCTCATGATCACAAGGACTGCCAATGAGTTCAGCATCACGATGAAAATGTTAATCGTCAACAAGGTGCCCCCGAGCACCTTATCCCGAACACCCTGTTCAGCAGAGAAACTTCCGTTTAGTGATGTTGCGTTTGTAATACTCGCGTTGTTTGCCATGACAACAAAACTTAAGAGACAAAATAGACCATATAGTGTGAACAGTAAAATCTCATACAGTTCTAAGGACAGATTTTCGTTACGTCTTGGTAATGGAACAGAGCCGAATGAGATTAAATACCAACGAGCTATATTTCAATATCCTGCTAAAGTTACGGAACATGGGTCCATTGCAGATAGACATTCTTGTTCAAAACCCTTTCCGATGGTCACTTTAGTGAATAAGAAACAGAATTCATATAAAAACAAACCCATCTCCAATGTCTCTTCCACTCCACATTGCTTTTGTTTGGTAGCCTTAACACCTTCTTGTCAAATCCGACGCAACACCACCACAGGGCCTACTTGAGCATGCACAGAACTGCAAAGTTGGACGAAGATTGGCAGGTTGTGTCGCTTGACTTGCAATGACACTCTGAAATGTCAATGTTGTTCAATTTTCCAACGCTGGAGGTGACCTCTGGATCAACAAGCTATCACAACGAAATTCCTCATCAGTCTTGTGGAATTACCTTGTAGCACTTCTCAAAGAGCTCATAAATACTTGTCAATGAAATACTTCTCCTGTAAGGTTTAAAACTTTGCAGCCGACAGTCTTGCTGCAGAAAATATTGATACTACGTATGTAGAATTTTGATTTTATATCAACGTTGCAAATGATGAACAGGCCTACCGAGAAGAAGCAAAACAACATACTTTGCCATCAAGTCTCAAGACGCCGAATAAAATTCTTTATTTCACATGGGCATCGCCTGTTTTCAGACATCGTAGGCACGTTGTGAATGTGATGAGATCTGCCCAGGAAGCTCGCTGCCGTCTGCATCTCTGATCGGCTTGCCAGCTGATTTTCCCACTTAACAGGGAAATCGCCCGGTTGCTACATGGGAAAGGCATCGCCAGCTTGATGGCAAATTACATCATTTAAAAGTGAAATAAAACTTGAAGAAACATTTTCATAACCTCTTCAATGTTTTTCGTGATAACTTGGAAAACTTGCTGCATCTGATAAAGGGGGTTCATTTTCGTGTTCCACCAACAGGGATGGGACACCTTTATGGTTTGCACTATACCCATAGATTTCTCAAGACTATCACTTTGGGCTATCCTACGCTCGCAGGGGTGTACATATGTGTGTTGGTGTCACAGCTCCAAATTTGATTCAGTCGGTCCATTTTTGGTAACTTTGATCATAGTCTATGCTTTGATAAAAGGAGTTTTATGGAACGGATTCCTGATCCAAACTGTAGCATTTAAGAGACAGATGGTAAGGGATAGACGACACAGGAAACGAAATTTAAATGCTTCACCAAACAACAATACTTTAAAAGCAAACGTTTGCAACATGTGACCCCTAAAGGATCATAATTTTTTCTGTGACTGTTTTTCTTTATTTTTAATGATATTTTGAGCGTTTTTGTGACTGAGGGCTACACTTTTTTTTCTATAAGAACCAGTAAATTTAAGCTCAGACTGACTGTTCTTAATTTTTTCGAAAATCTGAGGCTGGATTGTTCTTAATTTGTTCTTAATCTAATAGGGTGTAAGCATTGCGAGTGCTAGCTTATTCTCTCTAGGGTGGTGTTCAGTTCTTATTTGCCAACAATGTGAGTGAGACAGCCTTAATTTGCTGACAAATTTGAATATTCACCGAAAAAGCACCCACACATCGCTAAAAATCCTCGATTTTGAGAAAAAACGTTCAAAATTGCATTTGTTCTTAACTTTTGATAAATTTTGAGGCTCGTGTTGATATAAAAAAAGAGCGTATATCCCCTCTCCACCACCGATCTTGTCCTCAAATCTGACTCCCCCCTCTGTGATATCTAGAACTATACATTTAATTATTTTGTCGAATGCACAATTTGTTTCAGCCTGAGGTGGAGAAAGGGACAATTTGCTCCATTTTTGAAACCGTTCTGAAGTTTCATAGCATTTATTAAAATGTCTGCTCTAGCAAAAGATAACCGTAAAAAATAAAATGCCTGCTCAAACAGAGTTACGTGCCGTTCACATTTACAGTACAATGAATTACCGAGTTCAAGAGGAACAATGGTGCTGCATTCTATATCTGATAACGAGAATATCTCTAGGATATAAGATACCTCTCTATGTGCAGATACTACTCAGTATTAAGAATGAGAAGGTTTCAGAATTCTCAATTGCCATGACGCCTGGAAGTTTTACTTGGACTAGGCCCTTGGACCCCTATATAAATAAACTCTTGGCAGTGTTTTAGTAAACATATTCTCCTGCATAATTCATGCCATTTCCTTTTAATTGGGCGACCCAGCAATTCCCTTCGTTCTGAAGTTCATTTATGCAAAGGTTTTTTCCTTTCTTCATTATCCATATTTATAGAACGCCAGTATTTACTAATATCCATTATCGAACAAATATTTTCATACGTTTTTGAAGGCTTGATACTAGAACAGAGGGCAAACCCCTGGACCCCCTCTCTCCAGCTTCTGCAACTGCTTAATGCACTAGACAGTTTCTCTCACAATTGTCAGTGTCTCACAAAAATGTATAATACACTTTACATCGAACTTTCATTTTGGAAGTCTAGATAAATAGACTGATCTTCAAATTGAGCAATCCACATTCCTCTATATCATTAAATGACATTCTACTTCTCTTTGTGCTAAGCAAACATGTAAAGGACTCGCTCAAGGAGAAAAAAGAAAGTCTAGGATTAACGCTCTTTTTATAAGGTTGCTGGTTAATTCGTTGGTAGCTATACGAGACAATTTGGTATGTAAGTGAACATTGTCACTTTCACTTGCCGTAAGAAAAGCAGTTTTTGCTCGTTGAAATGATAGTGCATATAAGTGAGTGCGGCAGCAAGGTTCTTCTGCAAGGAATTTCCACCCTTTCCGCCATTTTCAGCTATCAATCTCTCCAAATGAAATATAACTTTATCTACCCTAAATTCAGCAGTTGCCTCATGCCGAAATTATCACTGCCTCTGAGCTTCTTCAAAGCAATAGCCATAGAGGTATACGTAATACCAAGATGCACCAATTTATTACATATAGCTTCTCTTTTTTGCTACCACTTTTTACACAGTCTGTGTCAAATTTTTAGTGTAAATGACATCTTCCCAAATCTAATTAAATGTTGGAAAATTGTTCTCAGTTTATCAGATTTGGCCCCTAAGCTCCAAAATATGGCCCATGAAATAATCGACTGACGCTAAGTTAGGCCTGTCAAAGGAAGGGAGTTTTTGTCAGTATTTGCAACCAGGCTGTGTTGTTTGATAGGTATTTGCAACTGTCAGCCAATGATGATGTGACACGACCCTTTGGATGCACAAGTATATTTGAACGATGCATTAAAATCAGTTTTATTAAGCCATAAACAGATCATCAATATGTATTGCCATCACAGGACAAATCACAAAAACAAGTACATTTAATGTTTATTACAATGATAAAAACGACCTTGCGTTCATGAAATTCGAATCAATAGAAATGCACAGCAATGTAATGTTATTCTTGTGCTCTCGCTGATTGAAATTAAATCAGATGTCTGGTGTGATATATGTGGTAACTTCTATCGTAGCAGACTCTGCTTTTGACAGCAAAATCCAAACATAACAAAATCCAATAAAAAATATTTCACTAGTTATATAAAAAGGAACAGGCTTTCAAACTGACTCTATAGGTGTACCTTTTGATAAAAATGGTTCGATGTCAATAGACAGGCATTGAAAAATTGGATATAGAGTTGGAAAGGAAACGATAAAATTGATAGTGCGTTTTCACCAAACTGAGCACTTCGTTGAAGGATTCATAAAGCTTTTACTAGGACACTTGAAAACACGTGCAAAGTCATCCGAATTGTGCAATGTGCCAATAATTCTACGAAAGACAGAAATTGAAATTAGAAATTATAGGATCTCGGTCACAAATGTTCAGCCCTTATCACCTTCCCGTTTTGTTTATACCATTCCTCCAAAATCCACCGAAAGGAAAGAAACACAAAAACTACATTAGTATGCCATCAAACCAAATTGCCAAAACTTTAACATGATTTCGCTGCAAGCGGGTGTCGGTGCAGCGCACGAGCCAAACTAGAGCAAATAATCACCAAATATAAGCTTGGTGATAGGAGAAGTACCTTACGAAAGGTCACCGAAAACAGTTTGTGGTTCAAAAGAACTCTTCTTCTGAACTCTTCTTCCAGGAACATCCATGACTCACCAACGAAAAACATGCACTCAGCAGATATTAAAGCTATAATTGTTATATATAGGTATATTCAGTGCTGAAAATGCCTGTCTCTTAAAGCCTGATAGCTACCCGTACCAATTTTGATAAGGCCACAACCCAGTTAAGGCCAAAACCCAGTATTATTCTGAGGTTTGTCAGCCTAGATATGATGCATATATCGAGATTGTGGTAAAATACTCGACAATACTAAAACTAACCAGATCAACTCTAAGCTGGGGGTCCCATTGACACGACAAATAATATGGGGAAAAGTTACTTTAGTTTGGCTAAAATGATAGATTGACAATCAGATATGTTTGAACAAAGATTTTTAGAAGTAAAGGCAATCTGAGACTCGAAATTGCCATATACAAGCATTCTATGTGTGCTATAAAAATTGTTTTCAGTAAGATGTGCGATAAAGTGACTTTCGATGAAATAAACTTCCTTTACAAATGAATTACCTGAATTTGGAAATAGAGTGAACTCCGTTTTCAATCTGGCTTATTGCTGCAGACTCTCTGTATTTCGAACACCAAACCTGTATAATTACACAAAAAACTGAATCGTTGGAATTGACAACTTTTACATTTCGTATCAAACACTTATCAAATATTAAATCATAAATTAAGAACAATAAAGTTAAATAGCACTTTTAAAGGGAGCTTACCTGTGCGAATCCAACGAAAAACAGTTGTTCAGGAGAGAGGTCGATGCCGGGCAATCGCTTTTCTTCGCCATTCGCTTTTACCCATTCTTGGTAGGCCTAACGAAAGATAAATGTTAAAATTTAAAAAAGAATTTCAACCGTATAAAATTATTTATTACAAAAAGAGATATTTACGGCTTGAGAATAATTTTCTTACATTTTATGGCGATATGAAATTATCAGGTGTGCCAGTAAGGGCTAGCCTGTGTTCCAGACCCCTAACTTAAAAGTAGAGGGCTTATTTAAATACACATAAATGCATGCATACAGCCACAGAAAGGCCTCTACTTTTAAGTTAGGGGTCTGGGACACAGGCTAGGAAGGGCCTGATTATATGGAAGCGGGCTGGCCCGGTAAGAGGGCTGGCTCGTTTACCGAGACGGAATTTACGTTTTGTATTATATGTGAAAAGAGCTGTTTCGGCAAGCGGGCCAACTCGGTTGTATTTGCCTGCGCATTACAGTTCTATGCATTGTATGTGAAAAGGCGGGAAATGTAGAATTAAAATGATGCGGCATTACTACAGTTTGTACAGGAAAGCGACAAGCTTGTATCTTATCACGGACTGGAAAGAAGTTTGGCATATACTCAGATGATTTTCCGTTAAGTTTTGTAGCAGCAGCAGCAGATTTACTGACTTTGTCAGCCATTTTGATTTGCCGAATGATGGCTTTCATTCTTGTGACACGTCGATGAAAAGAAACTGTGCATGCTCCAATGTGTGTTTTCAGCCCGCTTGCCAAGCTGGCTCGGTTTGATGCGATTACATGGAAGCGAGCCAGCCCGTTTACCGGGCCAGCTCGCCCCATATAAGCAGGCATTAAGTCACCCATCAAAGAGAAAGGAAGTTAAACGGGAAACTCAATAACAGCTGAATGAGATGTGTGTGCTCTTTGAGTGCCAGGACGGGGAAGCTCATTCGACTGAAAATAGTGTTATGTTGGTTGTCAACTATCATTGCGTACAATAAGCCACAGAATAGTGGTAATTAAAATAAAATTGACAGGATCAAGTTTCAAGGCAAACCACCTCGACAGGCTCAGCTGTGCACATGTTCTGAACTTGTCTAATTATTTTCATTGAAACTAACGCCAGAAAGAGGCTTCGAGTTATCAGGAGGAAACGGAGTCGTTATGTGCGTATCAAGTCACTTAAAAGGCCCCGTTTAATTGAACCAACACTCACCCTACAGTTTTTATTACAGCTCAAATTCAGAGATTGCCCAACATTTTGCCCAACAATTCCCCAAACATTTCTCTTTGATTGCTCAACAGCCTTTTCGTCACTTGAAGAGCATCTTCATCGCTACTCAGGGCTATTGTGCCTAAATGATAAAAAGCTCCTCGTTCTAACAAAGATTCTTTTCTCCAAGGGGAAGCCACACGACCAACTAACCCCTGCAAACCCCTTGCGACGGCACTGTCGTTTCTTTGTCACTCTGTTCGCTACCATCAGAATCAGAAAAAGATGGTCTAACGCTTCTCTGTGACGACTGTAATTTGCTTCTCCTTTCATTGGTGTTATTATAATTCTCAACCGAATTTGTAGGGTTTCGAAATCGAATCATTGTTCTTGTCCGCTCTATCCATTGCAACGGTATACTGCTTATACTTGTAAAGCGAGGAAAAGTTGCTTCAATTTAACTTTCGCTTCAGAATAACGTTGAAAAACCAAAACAGAAAGCAAATCGAAAGCGAAAGCAATTCGGTGCAAAAAATGATGCATACGAGATATGCAAAGTACATTCAGCAATGTTGGTTGACCTCTTCAAACGACCCAACATTTCACCCAACATTTTGCAGAATTAACTTTTGCGGATGAAAACCTTCCCCTAAATATTGAAGAAAATTTTCTTTTGCATTTGATAGGTCTCTACTAAATATTGCGAATATAAAAATTGTGATTTAAAGAATGATCTTGTCACTGTTCCAAAATCCCAGGTCTTGACAGATCAGCCAAAATAGGACACAAACTTTTGATAGAAGTCTTGGGGGATGTTATTGTAAAAGTTTTGGTAGTAATTTGAAGAACTGGAAATAAAGAAAGTGGAAGGATCGGAGAGGGCAAAATTTTTCAAAATCGGTTAGCCGGAAATTTCCCCGTCGCTGTCTCTATTTTCTTTCAACTGTTCCTTCTTTCTGGATAGCCAAGCTCCCTACGCTTCGCGCACTTTTCCACCTCTGTATGAAAAAAAGTTTTCCGCTCAAATTTTGCCATTGCATTCGTTGGAGGGTAATCGATTATTAAAAGGGGTAAACATACTTTGAATGCAGCTTTGCTTCCACCGTTGTCGGCTATGTTTTCACCCAATGTTTGATTACCATTCAACTGAAGCGGAAAATATAAGAAATTTTACATACTAGAAAATATAAGGCTAAATATAGGGGTTAAGTGATGACATCATGTGCCTTCTGATGTTAGTACTGGAGCTTAGAAAAAAATTACCGAACGCTTTAAAATGCGAAGCATCAAAGGAAACTGTTGCAAATTTGCAGAGACAAGACAGGTGAAAGAACCGAGGTTTCTAAAGAATAACTGCTTTTTGGCCTGGTTCATAGACTTTGGAACCAAGACCAAATTATGATGATTTTATGGTCAAAGTGCCTGCGTTTTGTAACATTAGGTTATTTCATTGCATGTTTGTTTTTGTTTTGTTTTATGTGTATTATCAAATATTTTCTTTTAAGGAATCGCTTAAGGTTTATATTTGGTTCGCGTCTCTTCTGTTTTTAAGCTTTACTCGGTGTGGATTTCACAAATTGTTTTTGCATCTCTTTTTTCCATTTTTATATCATCTTTCTCGTTAGAAAGAGATTTCAATCTGAAATCTATTGCAAAATCTCTAAATATTTAAATACACATAAATGCATGCATACAGCCACAGAAACACAGAAAAGATATAAAGAAAATTCTTAATCAAGAACCAATTATAAAAAGGTTATGATCATGCCCAAATAATGTTTGTTTTGTTTGTTTTTGTTTTGTTTTATGTGTATTATCAAATATTTTCTTTTAAGGAATCGCTTAAGGTTTATATTTGGTTCCTCTATATTGTCCATTTGAAATATTGTCTCGCCTGGTTTTGTTGCAATTTGCAAAAAAAATTTCTTTACTTTCTCCTTTACTTGTCTTTTTTCTTTACTTTCTTTACTTTTTTCTTTACTATTATCGTTTTCAGTAATGATTGACATTACCAAAAAGTTTTGTCGGCGAACATCTAACGTACAAATACTCTTAGTTGACTTTTTTTTATAAATCTTTCCTTTTATTAGGTATGTTTTGCAAACTGAGATAACGTTAGTATAATACAATAAGAAAGTGGGGCTGACTATTCTGTGGGACTGACTGTTCTGTAGCACTGAGTTTAAATACGCTGGTTACTAAAAACCATATATTATTGTAAACATAAATTTAAAAAATTCCAAAGAAACACACATTTTTTCCATACATGCTGTACTTGGAATACTGATCGACTAAGCATTTCGCTTGGTTCTTAAAGCCTTGCTCGGATTTCTGTGTCCACCAGTTCTCTGAATTGCCGTCTTTGTTAAAAGTTTTACCTATGAAAAGGCGCATTTCAAAAACAGATTTTAATATCGGAATGGATCTTCATATCAGCAAACAATGAATTAATCGATTAAGGAAGAAAGTAGCCATTCAATTGCGACTCTGATCCAAAACTAGGGCTGAGTTTTGAAAGCGATGCTCTATTCACTTCAAATGTATGGTGGCCCAGCATTCTCATTCAAAAAACAGAAACATATTTTATGAAATATAAAAAAATGACAGATATTTGTGGTAAATTTGACATTGAATTCAAATTATTTTCTTGAAGTTTAAAATAACATGTCAAAAAGCAGAATAAACATTATAAAAAAATTAAAGAAACATTTCCATTTCCAAGTTTCAAATATAATTTTTTCTTTTTGTTTCTGAAAATCACATTGAAAGTCGTCAAAAGAAACATTTTCGTTTTCATTTTCAAAATGAAATGTCACGATCGGCCCAGCGTTCTCATAGACCACAATGCTTTGCAAGAATAAGCGCCTCATTTCCATGCAGCTTTTCGCGCCCATTTTGCTTCGCCTTGCCACTTAACAGCGAAGAACGCATACCTCGTGGTAGCCTATTTAATTTGAATTAATCACGAAGAGGCATGATACTTGGGAAAAACTTTGTAAGGTAATGAGTAACAAAAGAACAAAACAAAACGAGGCATCAAATAAAAGGCAAGCAAACCTATCGTCCGATTCAGCCACGCGAATTTGTATCATTTGAGTTTGATGAAATAACTCTACCTAACTCGAAGAGTGCTTGTGCTGCTCATTTTGGCCTCCCTGTCAGTACGTGTGACGTTCTTGTCTCAAACAAAGGTCCCTTGTGCACAAATATTCAACAGATACCACATCGGAAAGATAAGGACTTTTTTCTTCTTTTTTTAAATCAATTAGTTTGAGGTTTGCGGTTCAAGCTTGTTCACTTTACTTGGATTGGGTTCACTGTCGGGGCTTTATAAATTAAGTAAGGGTGTTAGAGTTGCAACAAAAATTCAGGTTTTAATTTAGGGGGCTTCAGCTCTCCAAGCCCTCCATAATTTCTTCTAGGATGCATTCTATCTAAAGTCTACGCCAGACATTGCACCAGAAGACCTCTGCGCCTAGATGCAGGAAGTGCACTCGGGGTGGGGTAAGGTTCGGTTAGGTGCAGGCTGTGGGGTAGGATTAGGGCAAGGGTTAAGCTTGGGTAGTAAGGGTACTGGGTACCTATTCAAATCCAATAATAGTGGATCTAATTGCCTTCCCTCCCAAACTACTTAATTCCCAAACTCTACCCTAATTAGCCAAAAATGAAGAAACTTTGAGTAGTGAAAAATATCCTAATTTCTTATAAAAAAGAGTGTACACTCATATTTTTTATTTTTAACTGAAAAGTTCTTTAGAGCTTTGTAAAAAATGAGGACATGGTCCTCTATTTCGCCAGCCCTATGAATTCAATAACAAGTTAACCTCGCATCAATGACGTGAATGTTCCAACTTTACCCCTTCTTTTTTTCCCCAATCGTTCTCCGTTGAACTAGTCCTTCATTGTCATCAAGGGTCATTACATCGTAAACGAGTCCTCTGGGATCATGAAGGCCATACTGCTCTCTGATTCACTTGTGCATAGCACGGTAGCCTAATAACTGACCTGGACCATCTTTTTCTGCATTAAATGCCTCACCCACTTGATCTACAGTTGTATCGTAGTCGACGAATTTTATTCCAAAATGTTTCATGCGCCTACTTGATGTACCAGAGCTCCAAGCGTACTGAGAAAAATCCCTTTGCAGAAAGTCAAGAATTTCAGCTCTTCGCAAGTTTCTGGCAACCATACAGCGAAAATAAATTTTTGGAGTTCATTATCCTCTGTCCATTCGTTATTTCTTTTATATTCTGCAGCCATATGGAGCAAAATTTCCTTTCTTGGCTACATAAGCCAAAGGTAATTTATTTAGAAAATCAAAAAGGGCGCGAAAAGCTGCATGGAAATGAGGCGCTTATTCTTGCAAAGCATTGTGGTCTATGAGAACGCTGGGCCGATCTTGACATTTCATTTTGAAAATGAAAACGAAAATGTTTCTTTTGACGACTTTCAATGTGATTTTCAGAAACAAAAAGAAAAAATTATATTTGAAACTTGAAAATGGAAATGTTTCTTTGATTTTTTATTATGTTTATTCTGCTTTTTGACATGTTATTTTAAACTTCAAGAAAATAATTTGAATTTAATGTCAAATTTATCACAAATATCTGTGATTTTTTCTGTTTTTTGAATGAGAATGCTGGGCCACCATACAAATGTCCTGTACTGGCTTGCAAGCGAAATTACCAGAGGGTAGAAAACGGAATGCTGCACATAAGAGATTGACTTATGAAAATGAACAACACATCATACACAGTTGCAAGGAATCAGCTAGACCTGTGGTTCTAGGCTCACTGTACAAGGGACAGCGCCAGAATATCGTGCAAAATAGGCCAGCATCCATGCTTTGCCTTCATTAAGTTAGACGGTATTTCTACTATTTTGCTTTGAGAGGATATTGGAAAATTCTCCTTCATACCTTGATCATCGAATCCATGTGTGATCTCATGACCGACAACGACACCAATTGCACCATAATTCAGCGCCCTGTTAAAACCAATCATAAAATAGGCTGGCGCAAAAATTGTCGTAAAATGCACATCAGGAGATCAGCCAAGGCTTGGTACATGTAGCTGGCTCAAATTTGCAAAATCATGGACGAAATCAAGACTAAGAACAATATTTTCTTGCCTGATATACTCCTTTAATCTTATATAGTTTATAGTTTTTCACGAAAGCAAGAATATAGATGACAATACCTTGGCGCCCTGTGATCGTAGAATGGAGTCTGTAATATTCCAGCAGGGAAAACTGAAAAAGAATAGAAAAAATTGAAATTTTGAAATTCTGAATGAAATTTATAATTTAATTGCTTATATATCATCATTTTTTTTAAAAATTTTCTAAAGTTTACAGAGAGAAACGTCTGTGGAACATAAGCTAACAGTTCTTATAGCAATCACAGGTTGATAAGAACGATAGTTACAAAAACTTGCCAATTTTGTTCTCTGTTGGAGAATAGTATGCATTCACTTGAGCTGGAGTCATTGCCCACCTGTAAAAATGGTGAAAAGAATTAAACAAGCTTAATTGTGGTGCAAGTGCAATAGATCTTATCTAACCATTAACAGGCTCATTCTGTTCTGTTTTGGAGATAAAGGTAGAAGGCACAAAAATACGAGCTAAATGTGCAATGCAATAAATAGAAATTTATTCACAAACAAAAACCAGGTATGCTTTTACTGACACCAACAGTAATCATAGCAAACGTTCATAAATTTCTTGACGAAATTCTAGACACTGATGAAAATCTTACAGGGATTTGTCAACTGGTTTTCCAAATTTCACATAGTTTCGAATGTTGTTAAATTTTCTTCTGCTAACGATATTGGCAAAGAAATTTCCCTTCCTGACAACCAACTACGAAAGAAGAAACACACCTATTCAAGCTTCTGGAAGACACATCTTCAGAAAATAGAAAGTAAACAATGAAATTCTCATCAATAATTGCAAAATCAATATAGTAACGAGTCTTTCTAGAAAGATATGTGAATCTCTTCTTAAATCATAAATTAGTTATTGTTTAGAAGTTTACGATAAAATATTCCACAAATACACAAATGAGCTACTAGTAGTGCAAAAACGAATCCTTCGAGTAATTCTATTCACCGATTTTCTACAGGCATAAATTTTATAAAATATTGAAAACGAAGACCACTAACACTGAAAGACCCTTGCACTGTGTGTGACAACAGCCCCCCTGTCCCAGTTGCTGCATCTTACGATTATTTATGGAAATTCTACTAGGCAACGAGAGCACTATTTTATACCAAAATCAAAAAGGCAACGAAAAGATCTTCAAATTAATTAAATTTTTCTTTATCGAATACTGTTTTCGATCAAGGTTTAGTTTTAGCTTGCATTTTTGTAGAAATATTGTATCCATAAAAAGTCAAAAAAGCAATAAGATGATCTTCAAGTCATTCAATCATATCGAATTTGATAAACGACGCTCCTTTTTTAATTCCATTCAAATATTTCTTGATGCTAATCATCAGTAAAATTCGATTCATTTCTACGTTCATAAACGTATAGTATGAAAATATAGATTAAATAAGTGAAACTAAATGAAGAATCCGACAAAAACAAGGTTTTGCTGAATTATCAGAGTAGTAGTTGACTTTATTCAAGAACCACGACTCTCCATAAAATATCTGAAAATCGAAAGAGCACCAAGTAATAACGAAATGAGAGAAAAATGCAAATGGAACCATTCCTTTGAGACTTACCCCTTGGTAATATTTGTCCAAATCGCTGTCCTTAACAACGAAGTCTGGGTATCCAATGTTCTGAATAATTGCGACTGCCTAGACAAATTGAACTATTTTTTGTAAAGTCTGCAATAGTTAATTGGTTAGGAATAATTCGGCAAGACAAAACAAAATTGGCAATCAAAGAAGACAAAAATTAACTTGGGGAAACCAGCAAAAGACAACTGATCAATTGAATTAATTCAATTCAACACTTTATTTGATACCTGTGAAAAATCATTGCAGTAAAATAAAAAAGCCTCAAATATTTGCATTGAAAATTATAGCCTTTAGAACAGATTCTGGTGAATTAGAAAAACTGTTTTACTCAGATCTAACGAATCCTGCTTTTAATGATTTCCTATAAAAATGAAGAAAAAAGACTTATAATAAAATATTGATCTATAAAAGTACGTCTTCAGAACCTTATCATGTTATGGTAACCTTTTCAAAATTCAGAGAGTGGGTACCTTCTCTTTCGCAGCTTTCTTGGTGGCGTCATCCATCCAACTTAACGTATCAATATTTTCCATAAACGACTTTCTAATTCCTTGAATCATTTCTTCAGCCTGTATGAACACAAAGTAAACAGCCAGTTGACTCTAAGGTTCTGAACGCTGATCAGTAACGGACTGATTGTGTTTTAGACAGAATTATATTTTAGACATAATGATTAGAAAGAAAAAATGTATTAATAACAGATGCAGTTCAGAAGCACCCTTAAAGCGTTGGAGAGTACATAAAGCAAGCAATAAATCTAAAAGAGATGCAGTTCAGAACCACCCTTAAAGCGTTGGAGAGTACATAAAGCAAGCAATAAATCTAAAACAGATGCAGTTCAGAACCACCCTTAAAGCGTTGGAGAGTATATAAAGCAAGCAATAAATCTAAAAGAGACCATACAAGACGTCTGCATAGAAAGACAACTTTCAAAGACGTCTATTTCCCAGAAATAGCCAAGATTCTGTTGAGCTGCATTTCGAGATGAAATTTGAAGCCTATTGTAGATTGAAAATAACGAAATTTCACTATTCACTTTGTTTCCAGACGAGAGTGTTTCCGGCACAAAAATGGTGACGGAAAATAAAATGACAAGGCAGTTCAGGACCCACGCCACCGGAGCGGGGGTGGGGGAGGGGGGTGGCGTGGTGCAAAATAATTAGGAGAGAGATCTAGCATTAACATAATGAATGTCCGGTTAGAAATGAAAGTATAAAAAATGTGTAATATTGAGATTTGGGGGCAGAGGACATGCAAAATTTGTTTGATGATTTTGTTGTGCTTTAAAAATGCAATTTGCTTTGAAGAATTATGAGTATAGTTTTCATCAAATTGGCGGAATTGGTCACAATTTCTCAAACATGTGTGGAATTATGGGTCCAAATTTTTTGACCAACATGGCATGTTCCCGTCCAAAATTAGACTTAGTTACCTCTGAGAGTAATGGCTGACATTTGAGAAATCAAATGTGCAAGCTGCTGGGCTCATTCACAACCTTCCAAGAAACAATGCAATTAGAATGTGTTGTCACTCGTGTACTGAATCTATGTAATGAAACTATGACAATTGTTTTAACTAACCATGGTTTTTGCGGAACCTATGAAAGCCTTGTCCACAAATAGCCTTCCCAATGCAAACCCAAATGCCGATGTTGTCGAAGAAATACACGTCTCCCACCGTGGATCCTCCGCAGTGGTTCCATAAATCGTCGAATAGTAGTCGTTGTACGCCTCCTTGTATTTGCCAAGCAAAACGGATCCAAGAGAAAAGACGACCTTCCACATTATGTAGGACGATTGGACACTACAAAATAAAAATACATATTTCATAAAGAAATCCCTAAAACTATTATCATAAAACCCAATATTCAAGTTTTATTGGCTTAGCTGCAGATCATATTTTCACAAAAAACAGATCTTGCAGTTTATATTCAAGCTATTGGTCTAACACTCTTCAAAGAATAGACTGCAGAACATTGATCAAACAGCTTGGCAATTAATATGCTCAGTTGTGGAAAGTTTGTTAGACGAAAAGCTTTGGTATGACTTAAATTTTCTTAAAGGAGAACTGACACGCAAAAATAAGTTTGGCTAAAACGGTAGTTTGTGACAAGCAAATTCCGGGATCGAAAAAATTTTTTAAATCACAGTTACCGTTGTTGAAATACAGGCGTTTTAAGTTGAGAAAGGACAATTATTCCGACAACTTGAGATTCGAGGCGAAAATCGTCACGAATGGGCGATCATCTTTGACGTCACAAGTGACATGTTCTCAGCACGTATTGTGTTTCTCTATAGAAACCTTCAAGAAAATGCTGCGGACAAATGTTTATTTTGTGCATTTGAAAGGTTTGGGACTCTGAATCCGAGTTTTATTACACTGATTTCGAAACAAATGGAGAGTTTCAGCCGTCTGAGTTTTTGTCACCAACCAGCGCTGCCGCTTGGGCAGACAGTCGGCCCATGGCTCAACAGTGACGATGTTATGAACAAAGTACAGACTGGAATTACAAACTGATATGGAATTTCTATTAAAAACAATGCCATTGCTACAATCTAAATGAGATCAGGTATCCTAAAACTAGAATTTCATTTCAGATTGAGGCGTCTTTGTCCAGACTGCTTTGTCTGTATGGGCTAATTCGCTGAAATGCCTATGATGCCCTAAACGGAACTGCAAGTTATTTGTTTTTCAATGTTCCAAACGCGTTAACTGTATAGTGATATTAAAGAGTAAAGGAGGGTTAAAAGTCGACTTGTGCGGATTATATGCCATTTTCACCGGGCGTGAAGGATTTCGGGAACTGATAAGTTACCTGGCAGTCGAAAAATCTGGATTTACGGAATAGGCTCTTAGCTCTAAGTCAAAGAACTTGATTTCTTAGTCGAAGAAAATGCTGTTTAGCTGTCATAGGAATATCAACTGGCGCATTATCTTCTTTTCGAGCAATTTTGACTTGGGTGGGGGATGGTCTTTTTGCAAGACTAGGTTATTCCCTAGTATCTCAAACTCTGTTAAAATACAATAATCAAGTTCAGTGAAATTATTATTTAGTCACACTCGCAGCTCCCAGCAACCAAGGTTTTTTCTTGAATTCATATTTCTGCACCCAAAGCAGGTTGCAGGATCGCTTTTACCGCCGTCTCCACTAGGTTTCGTTTGTCTTTTGGCTATTGCTTCAACCCCCCCCCCCCCCCTCGTCCCCCATGTTGCGATTTTATTTGTAAATATAAAAATAAAAACTTTGAAGAATCAGTTTTCAAACAAAGTCGACTCCTTTTTTTCACAAGCTTAGAGGTTCTTTCAATGTTTCAAAGCATGCTGGTTCGAAGATATCATGGCATAAAAATAAATTTTATGTGGATATTAGCGTCTCAACAGACATGTAGCTAGGATTTTCTAGCTTCTACATACTTATAAATGAAATACCTGACAATTTTTTGTCTTTTCACCGCGGACTATTTTCAATAAAACACGAAACTTCATTTGTACTTTCACGTTAACATGTCACTTGTGACGTCAACCGAGAATTTCAACAACTCCTGGCGATAATCATGTTTCCGCTTCGGGAAATTCCTAAGTCCTGGCTGTGACGTATTTGACGGATAAAAGTGCAAATATCAGAAAAACGGCGAATCTAAGAAGAAAACTTTTTGCAGATTTGTAGTCAGCAACAAATTTTGCATCGAATAAGCCAAATATATTTTTGCGTGTCGGTTCTCCTTTAAGCGCCATTTCTAAATCCTGTACCGCCAAGAATTGTTCAACAACTAATTTTGGACATAACATTGATCTCTAAAAACGCGCTAAAAACAATAAAGTCTTACAAAGGATCCTCTTCTTTAAACAGCTTGTACGAATCCCTGATATAATCTAGAGAGTAGGTGACGACTTCTTCATTTTCAGAGATTCTGTGACCTGTTTCCAAAAACGCCCAGTCAAGCCAGTTCTTCAGCCAATCCAACTGTAAATAAAGCAATTTAAGATTGCACCTGATAACGAAAAATCAGCCAGAGACGTTTAAGACCAGAGAGACAAACGCTATCAGCTCTGGAGATTCCAGCAAGTCGAATTGCAAGTAAACAGAAATTTGGCATAACATTAGCTTCAAACCGGCTGTAATGTCTTTACAATCTGGCATGAAATGAGGCTAATCTGCAACGTTATCTTTAGTTGGTGATATCAGGGAGAGGTCTGGAGACAAATAGTAAAGGTCTAACAACGGAATGAAATTAGAGGCTAAGAAAAAGAGGTGGGATTCTGATACTATTGGAAAGAGTTCGTGATGTTGATAAAGAGCTGTCGACAGAGCTCGTCAATTTGGCAAGGACACTTGCAATTGGTGAGTTTGGGGAGAGTTTGTTGTGCTTGGAACATGTCTTGGGGAACTAAAGAAGGCATCTCTGAACAACTAGTAACAATTTCCGTGGTAGGCTCTAAAAAACTCAATAACAACGGCAACAATGAAGAGGCTGGAGAGGTTTGTGAAGTATGAGTTGCCGATTAGGCGAATGTCCCTTAACTGGATTGTCATTTTGTTAAGAAAACACAAGTTCGATTCAAAATATTTCTAAAAAAAAAAAATTTTGAACTTACCGGTATTCCGGTTTTGTTTGCGAAATCCTTTAGTTTCATCTTTTGGTAGTTTTTATTGTACTGACGCGCTTGCTCAGTCGGTAAAGTGATCTGACATAAATGAGAAACTTCACAGTAAAAACAACTACGAAATACATTAAAGTCATATGCCCGTCTTGAGAAAAACAAGTCTCTGAAATCTGAAACCATAAACTAAAATCGCTCGCTTCAAATCTTGAAAAGGCTTACAAAACGATCTAGTCTTCAAAGTGGTACGAAAGCAATACCATGGTACGAAAGCAATACCATGGTACGAAAGCAGTGGTACGAAAACATTGTAAGACATACGTTTGCCAATCGTTTCTCGAATTCGTACACTTTATCCATCAATAGTGTCCCATTTTTGTTGGCTCCAAGAAGCGTGACTAGCTTCCTCATAAGGGTTCGATAAGCGCTGCTGACCTACAAATCACAAGAATTTGACAAATAACTTTTTTTAGGAAACGATAACACAGAGGCTTGCTTTAAAAAGGCGAAAATATTTTAAAGACGTAAAAAAAAGTTGCTTTTCGGTAGCATTAAAATGCAACCAGTCCTTATCAAATTCTGTTATTTCGAGGTTCCAATGACGGTAAATACTACCTTGCAATCGCAGTGAAAATTTACCAACAAGATGAAATACATATTAATGCTAAAAGAGAAAGGAGAATTTTATGTACCTTTTTGTGGTATGTTGTATTGCGAAGGTAGGCCTCTCTCGAAATTCCAAGACCAGATTGGTCAAGCTAAAAAAAGGAGAAACGCAAAAGATTGATATTTAATTTGCAGAGGTTTCAGGAAGTTTTAAAGATCAAATGTTCATCATCTGTTTCTTTTAAATAGAAAAAAATAAAGGAGCTTTCAACAATCTTCATTTTGAAATACCATGCTAAAGACAATTTAGAAAACAGAAGAAATACAAGTTTAAATCCAGATGAATCAAAACACCCACCGTAATAACGTTTACCGAAGAATTCTTCAAATCACTTCCTACATACATATTGAAAACCGGGGCCATTGCTAAATATTTGTGAACTCTAATAAATGTGTCGGTCCAGTTCCAGTTTCCAGCAGTGAAATTCATGTCGGTAACTGGCCATGAGTTGTACTGCTTGATCACGTCTTTCAAGGGCTGGTCGCCACGAGCCTCGATGCTTTTTTTGTCCAAGCAGGAGGAGTAGTAATCAACAGCGTTTCTTATTGACATCGACTGTGGAAATCAATTGACATAATTAGAAATAACTGTTAAAAGATAAATAAATAAATAAAATAAATCTTGCATGCATTAAAAACATGGGTATTAATTATTTTGTTGAGATATGATAAAAAGGGCGCAGAGAAAACAGGACCGTCCTTACTTGAACGTGGACATCTAGATTGTTTTTGTTTCCTTAAGTGATCAGGTGCTTTTGGGTTCTGCTGACTAGAATAAGCATATTTATAGAAAAGACCAACCGGCATAGCCAGTTTCTGTAGCTCTATCAAGAGGAATTTATCAAGAGGTAAGGAATTCATTTAAAAAACAACTTTCCTCGGATGCACGCTATTTTGAGGAAGAGAGGGCAAAATTATACTAGCATGGAAATATTCTCTCAAATTTCAACTATTGCTCATGGATTTCGAAGTTCTGAGAGAAAGCTGCAATTAACACAAGCAAACGGTAAAACAAACTTCCACTGTGCGCCACTGAGGGCACAAAGGTCCAAAAACGTATAACGATTTTGATGCAACATTTGATGATCTTTTGAGAAGGTCTGGTGAGCCAACTACCCTCCACTGATCGAGAAAGGCATTTTGTTGAACAAACCATCTGACACAATACAAATGCCCAAAGCACGTGATCAAGAGCTGGAAAGGAGAAACTTGCATATGCAACATTTGCACATGATGTGTAATTAAAATAATTCATGTTTATATTTAAGTAGAAGCATCTATCCTTTTTGTATTGTAAACAGTTACATTTTTCCTTCTTTATACTTTGAATGTTAATGTTCATGGAAAAATAAGGCCAGAATAGTTGTAATGACATAATGAGAATGAGCGGAAACGGTTTAGGCCTAACGATGGTAAGGGGAATGTGGTGTGTAAACGAGGAGTGGATGATATTAATGCAAGACAGAGAAAGTGATTCGTCGCAGTGCCTGTTCCAGTGCTGCACACACTAGAGATTCTGTTTGGATGTTTAGATAAATTTTCTCAACCTCTTCCAAAACTCCTTCGCATCTGCTGATTCTGATTCCTATCTGATCAACTGGCCATACATTCTGATCAACTGGCCATACATTCTGATCAACTGGCCATACATTCTGATCAACTGGCCATACATTCTGATCAACTGGCCATACATTCTGATCAACTGGCCATACATTCTGATCAACTGGCCATACATTCTGATCAACTGGCCATACATTCTGATCAACTGGCCATACATTCTGATCAACTGGCCATACATTCTGATCAACTAGTCATATCTTCAATTCATCAACAGTCTATTGCTCTATTGCAAAATGCTTGCTCCATATCACAATATTGCTACAGCCCATGCGTTAACTGCCAATATCTTTCTCCACCCATTTATCTTGGATTTCCAAACCAGCTTTAAGCCTGGTTTCCATATAGCCGTAAGGCTGCCTGCGGCTGCCTGCGACTGCTTTCTGCCATCTGGCATCTTCCATCCCTACGGTATCGCCGGCAGATAATTCTTTATGGAAACGCTTTCTAACGGTACCGCAGGCAGCTGTTTGAAGTGCCGTAAGACTGCCGGGAGAGCCGGGAGAAAGTTGAACGAGTTCAACTTTTCCCGGCTCTTACGGCAGCCTCCCGGTACCGCCGGCAGACAAATTACAAATGGAAACGCCTTGCCTGCGGCTGCCTGCGGCATTCTTTTGTTCAAACAGATCATGTGATGTGCAAGAACCAATTGAAACAGGGCTTTGTTGTTGAATTTTGCCCGCCAGTTTTTCCCGCTCAAACTTTACCTAGTTACCGGCATAGTTACCGATACCGCAGGCAATTGAAAACAGAACGTTTCCATTTGCCGGCGCTGCTGTAAGGGTGGAAGATGGAAGATGGCAGAAAGCAGTCGCAGGCAGTCGCAGGCAGCCTTACGGCTATATGGAAACCAGGCTT